GTTACGGGCGTGGTTCCTGAGACGAGACTGAGACGAGACGCCATCTCTTGGTAACCGCGTTTTTTCGTCCCGTCGCCGCGCTTCCTGGAACCTTATCTCGTTCCTTCTTCGCGCGGCGCCATCATGATGTCGACATCATCACGAATTCTTTAACCTGGTTCCAACGCGGATTCATTGGCTCATAAGGCACGTTCCTCTTTGGCCACTCCCATTACCTTTTTTCCTCTCTTTCCCTACCAAGGCAGCTTCCCCTCGCAGCTTTTCTGGTAGGAAATTTTTCCTCAGGTAACATCTCGCAAAGATACCTATCACATCGCCTCATCCAGATATGGCGCTTATGTACGGCGTAGCATGCGGAGGAAGACATCCCCGGACGCAACAAGCCTGTGTTATAAGTGGTGGTGGTGGTCTTGCGGTGTGATATATGCTTCACGACTTGCGTTGAAAGCTATCGACACGCTTCATGCTTCATGCTTCATGCTTTGCTGACGTTGCCGCTGTATCCTGTGGCATGTGTAAGTACCTATGCTTGCATTCGATCCGACATTGTCTTATCATGCGTTTGTGGCTGGAGGCATCCAACAACAACAAGGCTCTCGACCTCATCGTCCGGTCCGCGTCCAGTCTTTAATACGGATGGTCTGTCTTAATCGCAATAACACCGCGTACAGGCATCACAACGCTGACGGAGAGATGGATGGACGGCCATACTCCTTCCCCGTGATCACGCGTCAAGGCGCACTCCATCTCCGTCCTTTCTTCAGGCATGATTGTCATACATATCACCACGTCCCATCCGCATAACTGTGAAATCTGGACTGGCGCAGTGTTCCCATCCATCATCTGAGGTAGGCTGATACGGGCACACGGAATCAGATCAGAACTCCGAGCGGCTTGTATTGAGTTGCAGATTATTGATATCGCCACCTCACCGTAGGTAGACGTCCAAGGCTTCGGCGGCTTGACCGCGCCGCTGCTCGATATCAGGCCACACCGTTGCACGGCATGAAATATATCAATGAGAGGAAAAATGTCAGCGAAACCAACTGCGCAGCGGTACGAGCCTGATCCTATTGTGCTTGTACGTCCACTCTTTCTGTGCTGACCGTAAATGTATATGTATGTACACCTCAGCAGAGCGGGTGTCAAGCAGAGCCCAAACAGCATACATATGTAGGTAGTCGGCAGGCAGACATGCGGAGCGGATTGTAGAAGACAATGCGATGTCGATGCATTGCGGGCAGCGGGACGTTCTCCGGGGTGTCGCGCCGGGTCCGCCCGAAATGTGGGGCCGCGCGGGGATAGAGCAAACCTAATGCGCGCCCGGCACTGGACTTGCACGGAGATGGGTACAGTGGTCGGCCGGAGAACCCCGCGACATACACTATTCAACATCGGAGTAGGACTGATGTTACCGGATCAAGGGATACCAACACCGAAAGAAACTCCCGGTCCCACTGGTCCCCTCGTCCGGAGTCCCGCAGCGTATTTCTACAATGTATGTCCAATGTACTGTACGGGTCAACGAGGGGTAAAAGCAGACGGGCCGCGGCCGGTCGGGTCGGGTGGGGGAGAGTTGCTAGTGTAGCCCGATGCGTTGCGTTTATCTTCGGCTCTTCTTTAACATTCTCTTTGTGACGCTGTTGGCGCGAATGTTCAACGTTGCTCCTCTCAATTGTAAACTCCACCGATACAGTAGTTTTTTTTTCGTCCTTCCGAGCAATGGTTCGATATTTGTTACCCCATCCACTTCTGAAGAGAGAGAGGGGAAAAAAAAAAAACTAGAAAATTTGGATGCATGAGTTGCAACGTAGCATCCCGTTGCTCGCTACTGTACCGTCGCTGTTGCCCAGACAACAACAAAACTAATCACTCAAAGCCCCATACAGTTTGTTTTGTTTTTGCATGAAGAGATATCCATCGGTTTCCACGGAAACGAGTTGAGGATAGGGACGGATAGAGAAAGGAAGAAATCGAGAAACACTGTGTACAGTAGATACCCTAGTAAATACAACTAATCCGGGCTCTATGGAGAGGGTCAGAGAAAGTTGCATTTACTAGGCATTTTGCATTTACTAGGGTCCCAGTCACACACAAATGGGTGAATCCGGGCCGCCAGGCCAGTTGCATTTACTAGGTACCTTTGTACGAGCTTGCATTTACTGGGGGTTGCATTTACTAGGGTATCTACTGTAGCAGTGATGGGTTTTATGGATACCAACCGAGGCAGTTCCCGGCCCTGCCTGGGAGGAAGACACCCGGGGTTGCTTGTCCTCCAATTTTTTTTTCTCCCTGCCCATGGACGTTACAAAAGTCAGCAGAAGGCAATACGTATGGTAAAAGCCCGTAAACTTTGTCCCGCGGGGGATTGAACTGGAGTACATAGATAGGGAGCTGGTAGCCGTAAAAACAGGTGATAATTCGAGGCCGTCCGTACTCGATAAATGCCGTGAAACGCGACTCCTACGGATGCTACAGTCCGAGTCTCGACGTTTCTTTCCTGTCGGTCCTGCTTCACCTTTGACCGAAGTAATATATGCATGCGTGAGTGAGTGAGTGAGTGGGTGAGACGGAATGATACTTTTTTGTCTTTGCCAGCAGCCAGCTCGGAGTTTCTCTCAAGTTTTCGTTGCTACTAGTCATCATCATGAACTTTGTGTGCCACCACGGCGCTTCCCGTCCCTCATTTCGGAAGAGAACCAGCAGATCCTCCAATGGGCTCGTGATAGCGCAGCAAATTTCCGATAAAAGCAGCGGAGCGTCGTCGTTTTTCCATTCCAGGGTGCCAAGTAACCCGAAAGCTCCATCAGCCTCCAACAGCCAAGCTTTGAAGCGAAGCCGGTTCTTTGAATTTCGAATTCCCAATTTGCGATTTTTGATGCCGCCGTGATACCATCATCAATCCGTTGTCACTGTCAGATTAGGTATCTTTGTATGACATTTCCACTAATTGATTGTAGCGCTCCTTGATACGATAATACAGTAAAATGGAGCCGAAACTTCACAATTTCCCATTGTCACATGAACTTCCTCCCTGCTCCGGTGCCCACTTGGCCGGGTTTCATACCCCACAGCTGTTTTGAAGCCCCACCTGAGCTATGCTTCTCCACACAGATTAGGCTCTGCCTTATTTGATTGGCCAGACCTGTTCAGCCTCACGTGGCTGTTGCATCTAGCTCAGCCTTATTTCTACCCGAACCCTGGGATGGTAACACCCTTGTCAGCTCGACGTAACCCCTCCAAACTACTTAAGTACCTAGCTTCCATTGGGCTTCTAGAATAAGAGCTGGGCACACACACCTCATAATTCTTTCTTTTCCGTCTGTCATCTTTGTGGTCATTGGTTCGGTTTTGGCATCAGCACATGGAGCGGTGTCGACCGGATCAGGAGTTGCCCGGACCAGCAGGATTCATGCCTTCTGCGTGCTGCAATCACATCGACCACTTCCTTGTGTTCATTCTGTTGAGGGAGGGGGACGCCATGAGCGTCCTTCGAGATTCAAATCATGATTTTCCCCCACCGCGCTGATGCCGCCAGCTTGGTGTTGTTGTGGTGGTTGGGGGCCTTAGCCAGTTTCACACTGAACACATTTCTCCTCCGACAATGACTCCATCAAACGCCGAAAGGTCATTTTTCCTTTTTCTCTTGGACCCATGGGTATGCGTTAAGCAAGCTGTTTCCACACATTACAGCAGACATATCAACCTTAGCGGTCAAGTGTTCAAGGGCTCAAGCGTTTGGATACGTGGACGTCCTCGATGCCATATGTTCAGGCTACTGCGCTAGGCACCGGGCTAGATACCTGTAGTGACCTCCACAAGCCTCGGGATCGACCACCACGGACAACCACCCTGGTGATTACCAGGCAGTGGATCACTGTGTGAGAAGAAAGCAGCGCGCTGAGCCGGGCCGGGTACCATTCCAATTAGTTTAAAGCTTCCCCCTCCTTATGCCTGGCTTCAAGGCTGCTATAACAGCGGGGTGCAGTGGTGCAGTGGTTGAGACACAAACAATACTAACTGGAAGGCCTAGGCCACGCCGGGCGCAGGTGTGGGTGGAAATGTGTGCATATTGCTGCGTGTCTGTATCTCTGAAGCATCTTTTGTTTTCACCGCCTTTGCACACTCATCGCGGCATGCTGCTGGGGTAAAACATGGAACTCAGACAGCGCACGGTGAAGGAGGACAACAGTAGTAAGCTGTTATGCAACCATAATTACCGTTACATTACGATACCGCCCGGGCGGTGTCCGTAGATCGCGCCGTGTTCCGCACCGGTGATCGGCGGGAGGGCCCGGGCTCTAGGCTCGGCAACCACTCGAGCGGCCGCCGTTCGGGATGTCCAAGGGTTGAGACCATCAGAGGGGATACTCATACATACGAGGTAGATTATATGTATGAGGGTTAACCAATCGTAACCTGAGCGGTCAAGTCTTACCCGTTAACTCAACCAGGCAAAAGATGAGAGGTTGATCGTTGATGTGGCTTGATCCCCCTCTCAGTTGCCTGATTTGCCCCATGAAAGTCCATGGTCCATCATGTTTCTCCGGTGTTTGGTTTCGGGTTGTGTCCCGCCAGCCACCACCGCGCGAGCGGTTGAGCTGAGAGCCATGCGAAGGCCCGCAAATAGTAAAAACTCCCGACGCCGAACAGACAACCATCTTAACCGACCTAGGAGATAGGGAGTTTCAGAATTAATATGGCGGGTTCTCGTCATTGGTTTTTGGGCTACTCCTTTCTCGTCGCGGCTTACGAAAGGCAGGATGGGGTTGGTACAATTCCCCAGATACTATTGGGGGTTATATGAGAAAAGGTGCGGCTGCGCCAGCCTTATATTTCATGATATAGGAGGGCACATCCGCCATTTCTCCAGCCACCGCGCAGCGGATAAATTGCACGGCTGGTAGTTAGGTCAAACCTGTTTTTGGAAAGACATTTTACGAGACTGATGCCCGCACGCTGTACCAATACAGCATGCTGTGTTGCTTCGAATACCCGTGATGGCGCAAGGCTGCCAGCACTGTACAACCGATACCTGGTAGACCTTCGTCCGAAACGTATGATGATCTTCTGTGGCTAACCTGAATCAAGAAACTAGTCATCGTTACTTTACCGTCTTCGGTGATGGCGTCGTTAAGGTTCGGTATGTCTTAACCCTGCATGGAGGCAGTTCCACCCGCCCAACCTGATACCGGATGTAATCGCAAGCACCGGCACGCAGCACCATGCTATGCCCTGCATACGGCTAAAGGACCACTTGGGTTCGGGCAACAAGCAGCCCATGGGTAGATTCCAAGATATTCCGATTTAGACTCGGAAGATGTGGCGCGCAATTACATGGGCGATCAAATGCTGGTGTAGCTCTTCGAAATGCGAAATGATTACGACGCGGCCGTTGGCACAAGGCGGCTTGTCGTCCTAGGGGCATCCTTAGCGGCCCGTGGCAGGTTGGCGAGAAAATGATCTTAGTGCTGACACCAAACCGGTAGATAGGTCATGCACCGTTCGACTAAAAGCCCATGTCCCACGGCATGCCAAAGCAGTCAATTTGGAAGCGAGCTCAAACTGAAGTATAGGACCAACCAGTGGACCGCCACTGAAGGAACAGCCCCTTGAAGTGTTGCACGGCATACCGCAGTGAGCAAGCAGAGGATTTGATCCGTGGCGTCAGAGTATTTGAATTTCTGGCGGCTTGTGGTCGACGATGGTCGATCTTTTGTCCAAGCACAAAGACGCATCAGAAGGTAGTTTGACCAAATTGCTTGAACTGTGCATCCGATCGGCGCGGCCAAGGGCTGAAGACAGGGACGGATGCAGCTGGTCGTGATGGTCCGGGTCTGGTTGCAGCATCATGCTGCTGTGTAGCCAAGATTACCGCGGGAGGGCAAGATACAATGACGACAATCGCAGCTTCGTCTGTCGAAAGGGGAAAGGGGCAAGACGTCGAGACAAGGCGACGACAGGTAATACGGCCTCAAGCCGCCCGGCAGCTTGGTCATCGGGGCAGTCATGACTGGTGTACAAATCCATCATGGCCGAGAGTTGGGGTATGTTTCTGGCAAAAGGTGGTCGGACCGGATGCGGATTTTCGAGGTGGTGTGGACGGCATTATATGACCCGGAGCTCGGTGCGATGTCCGATGGCAAACCGTGCCTTTCCATTTGTTTGGTGGCCTGGTCGTGTTATGTGGTTTTGTTGTATCTCTCCCCGGCGGCAATAGCGCGGCAAGGCGTCATGTCGTAATCTTTCCTCACCAAGTCGCGCCTCCTTCCACTTTTGATGTTGCGATCCGTGGTACAAGCCTGTTTTGGAGTGTTTGACCCGGCCAGGTTTGGGTTTGCTGTCCGCAGTGGGTGGTGCTTGTGGTGCGTGGTGGTACCGTGTTGAATGTCGAAAAGTGGTGAAAACACGCTTCAGTTGAAATAAATTGATTTTCTCAGGACGTGTATCAGCGCGTTCCACTTCCCTGATTGGTGGATAGTCCTTACCTCTAGGGTCCTGTCATCAGCCAGGCAGCCACTGCTATATCGAAGGCTGGCAACTTCGTCCAATCCGGATGCGATGGTTGTAGTTGCCGTGCGAAATCATGACGATGAGGCCTGGTGGTTCAGTTGAAGCGGCGAAACCTTCCGTTATAGGTACTCAGTGAATGACGAATTTGCTCCTTCCAGGCCGCCTCCGTTCCTTCCCCGCTTTGATAGCTTCCCTCAGTGTATCAACCACAGTGTATTCATTCGACGATACGTACGCGCAACAATATCAATTCTTGGAAAATGGTGGCACATTGGTACCTCTACGGCGTACTTGAGGCAGTGATATGGATGTGTGAAGGATCCCGCATTAGCGAATGGTCAAGTTGTAGGTGCTGAATGCTTGCTTGCGGTGAGATGTGCCGGCTGAGTTGAAGTTCTGGGTACGCAGTGAATACAGTGAAACTGTGTACCAAGTGAGCATCATAGCGGTGATAATGGCTTGAGGTTCACTGTTGCCATCCTGTATCAGCAACGGCCCACTGTCTGGCCACCGCATTATCGAATACAGTCATCAAAACGCCATGAACCCCGCTTTAGAACAAGATGGCTTGATGAAGTGTCTGAAAATCTGTTGAAGCCTTTCTCGATCAAAACGCGGTATCAAAGAGCATCGTCTTTTCATTGGGACCTAGCGGTAACTGGCGGTCAAAAGGTTGCATCTAAGAGGTTGGATGTCAATGGATGGAACCAACCGTTTGGCAAAGATCCATTGTTCCTTGTAAAGGAGATTTTCTCTCTGGTTCATCCTATATGTTGTCTTTATATAGTTGTTTTTTTGACAGCTTCATAACGAAACCGAGCGAGATGCATATGACTTGCGTGCATAGGCCTCCGGACAGGCAGCGGGAATGGGTTTTTGTGCAACTTGTTCGTTCGAGTATACTACTAATGAGGACGCAGGCCAAACCATGGACGGACCTGTCATCTGCATCTGTAGACCCGTTCTTTTGATGCCAAACAGACAGCTAAGCTGTCCTGGTCTTTCTATGTGGTTTGTTCCATGCCATCTAGATGCTGCATGCACTCACTATACGCAGTACATTTTGTTGTTGAGAGGTGGGGGTTCGAGGGGTCAACAAATCAGCCAAGAAAAGTTTCGACATTACAGTACAAGAAGGGTATGTTACATGAATTATATTTAGGGAATCGTATTAAGTTGCCTTTCTCAACGACTCAGCCGCCGCATATCACCAATCCAGGATGATTCTGCGCCAAAATCATGTGAATTTCGCAAACTGACTACTATAGCCGACAAGCCACAAGGGGACCTCGTCTACCATGGATTACAGTATTTTGGGAACGCTTGAGACGGAAACCTACAGCAGCGCATCCGGCGGAAGGAGTCTGTTTTTGGTGAGGTGATAGAAGGGGGCCCCATACACCACAAAACCTAAAACCACCGCGATAGATGTCATCAGACACATGTCCATGTAATAAACAAACAGAGTACACACCCAAAAGACCATGGTCTTAAAAACGTCTGTCCAAAGCACATTTTGCTTTCCCGTCACGGCTTCAAGCGACTACGGGCTTCAAGGTTTCGTTCCATAGTGGTCAAGCACGACGAACCTTTTTGCCCCATCGTGGAGAGGACATCAGCAAAAGGTCAGCAGCATGGACGTCCAGGGGCCTGGCCCTCAGGAGATTTGACGTGCCGAGTTCCTGGAGCCGACCGCCCTGTGAAGCTGATGACAGGCAATGCTGCCACCAACTATACACTCAGCAAGGTTCTTTGCTTTTCCGGACAGACAAAAGACAGGCAAGCCAAGCAGAGTGGCACGGGTCTATCGGACTGCTACTTGCTTGCTTGCTTATGACGCTGCTAGAAGCTGTCAAGTCAGGCTATTGTCTTGACGCCCTTTAGTCGCATTTCGAGCATCTTGGTCGCAAGTATACTTCCAGGTGATCTGATACTGATAAGTGTAATAGGGTGAAGGGGGCAAATGGTTGGATTATGTAGCTCACGAGGAGGGAATGTCACGCTGCGAAACAGATTCAATGATATCGAATCACACTCAGCGCTTGACTGTGCTCCCGAGGTGCATCGCAAACTCTCCCAGCAAACTGGACGGCAGGGCCACTACTTGACAAGGCAATTGACGGGAGGCCGACGACGACAAGGCGTTGCCATTGTTTGTTAGTGAACGGCCATGATCAATGGCATGGTGTGACATTGAATCAAGTTCACCATGACTGGCGGTAATCCCATACCCATATGGGATGGGCTCTGCTGACTGGATTGAGGCGAGCAAGTGGATCCTTTGGATAAAAAGGGATCGTGGAAAGTGAGATTTCGGATTTCCGTCCAGGGCCCATCATCATTGCCTGCGCCATCGGACGGGAGCTCCTCCAGGCTTCGTGGACTGGTGCTGGTTAGGTGGAGTGCTTCTTCCATCTTCCCACTATGCCGACTGGGGACTGCAACGCGCACTGACCAATTCAGTTGGTTCAAGTGTTCCTTCCTCATTAGAAAGAACCTCGCTTCGTGGATGCTAATGTCCCGCTGTGACTGTTAAGGTTTCGCACCCAAACGTGCGCAATGACACTAGCAGATTGGCAACGGCGACACCATTGAATTTGATAATGAGATAATACCGTGTCTTTTGAACGAACAAAATGATGTCTTGGCTGCCGTCCAGGTCGCTCCATGGTTGCGGCGCTGCTGCAATGCGGTGCCCTGGTGTGTCCACTCCCGGCGGGCGCTCCTCCACCTCCACTCCAGGACCACTCAGGCGGCTGGTACTGTAGTGTACATCCTCGGACAAGTCCTCATTTCGGTCATGCCAGTCGTCGAACCAGACCTAAGACAGCAAAGTTCCTGTGGCCCTGCTGAAAGCCCTGGCAAGACGCAATCCTGCACAAAGATGGTCATGGGAAGATGCCAGCTCGCCGAACAAGTAGATCCGATTCCACTTTGCATCTCACCAGTGTCATCGTCATTCACCACTCCTCCGGATACGTAGTCGGTAGGATAGGGGACCTGTCTAGCCGAGAGGGAAACGAATCGACGCAATTCTAGCGTCAAGCACCACGGACCACACACGGGCGGCCACGGGCGGTGCGTTAGATTTCGCTGTTTCCGTTTTGAGAAACGCGCAACGGCAATATCACGATCCTCAGATTTCGAGATATGGATATACATACGGGTGCACGGCATGTTCCAAGCTGAGGCAGGTCCATACCGTCTCCTTGGTTTGCGATTGCTGGCTGGCTGGCTGGCTGGCTGGCACATCCTGACACTCCACACATGCATCAATTCAATCCCGTCAATCCGTCCATTCGACACCACTACGGGGAACCGGTAGGGTTTTGTAGGCATTAGAAAGACCTGCAAACATCCCTTGTGCAGTCAGAGAAGAGACAATTGCTACCAACCTGAAGCGTCCCAGGCGGGCAGGTCATAGCATCGCCGACCTTGAATCCGGTCTGCCGTATCAAAAGGTCGGAACCCTCTTTCGCCTGTCATGTCTGGCACACCTACCATACAGCCGAAGCATCCCACCTTTGCTACCCCGTAAGATGGAAGTACCTCCCAGTCTGACCTACCCACGGACACGGACGGTGATGTAGGCTACGGGGGGTGTGCTCTGTGGCGGCCAGGAAAACTGTAGGTATGTATGTACACTACCTCCAATTGTAACTGGAATATTCGTCCTCCTTCGCTTCAACTTTACTTTGTTTGGCTAAATGCCTGGGGCACGGAGATGGGGACGGAGACGGAGACGGGGACGGGGACGGCCTGGCCATCGTCTTGCGCAACACAAGGCAGGTTGGAAGGATACAACACGATGTCTATCAGTTCCGTCACATCACCCTGAAACTGTCTGTTCCCTTTTTGATCTCGGCATTGAAGATATACGACTACCACTGATTTCGACTCAGACCTTCCGTCGTTTCGCTTTTTCAGACTTTGCATTCACTGCCTCACCTCCACGGTTGGGATCGCGAACCAGAAAAGATGAACAGCGAAATGTAATGTACACTACAAGCTCCATACCCTCATGGGTACCCCGGACCTTCCCTGGACATGGGGCGGCCCTCCTTCCATGTCCATCCCATCCATGCCCCCGTACGCTAGGGCATCCGGGAATCCATCTCAAGTCATCAGTCGAGGGCAATCGGCGTACTGGCAGACTGTGGGTAAAGGTTTGGCCAAGACGTTTCTTACGGGGCACGAACAGTACAAAGTTAGTACACAAGACACTACTACGAGAACTCTTGGTTCTGACCATCAGTGACCACTGCACTCACTCCTTCGTCAAGGTCTTGCTGGCAAAAAAAACATGGACGGATGCCTTCACTGTGCGGCCGTTGCTTGCTGACGTTGCTACTGCTACTGCCACTTTGGCTCACCCGTCAATACTGTCCATCCCCGGATAGGCAGAGTGGTGCTCGGTCTTTCTGAGTGTGTGTGTGTGTGTGAAGCGAACGTGAAGCGGAAGCACAGTACACAGTACGAGGAGTTTGCCGGGGGCCCTGTCTTAAATGGCCCTTTAACCAATCTCTGCCGCCGGTCCACTCCCTTTTCTTGCACTCCATCCTCTCTCTCTCTCTCTCTCGCTCGCTCGCTCGCTCGACCCGAGCAAATATCTATTCTCCTCCTCCCCTTTCCTCTTCCCTCCTCCTCCCATTCCGCCCTCAGTCGTTCCCTATTCCGAAACATTTCCTTCCAAAAAAAAGAGATCCCCGATCGTCCCGACGTCGTGGTTCTCTTGTGTATTCCTTTTTTTCGCCAAAAAGAAAAGGAGGGAAGGAGGAGATTTAGATGCTCGAAATCCTGGGCCATACCGACAAGTTACCATCATCTCGGGCCGAAACACCGCTTTAAGAATATAAGGACCGGGTCAGAGAGTAGTTAGAAAGCAAAGAGAGTCTTGCATTTCGATTTGCATTGCTCCCTCGTGCTTTTTAGCCTTCTGTGACAAAGTCAAGTGTCTGCTCTGCACTCCCGAGTCCACCCCCCCCCCCCCCCCCCCCCTTACCGCATTTTCGGTACCGCAGTCCGTAATCTCGTACTGCAACCCCCAAAAAGGGCATTCTTCGGTCCGACGACGAGGACTTCCCTTGATAAAACCCTTCCGACTCCCTTCGTTCCCACGAACACCCTTGGGATACCGGCAACACCCACCCATCCCTCATTCCCGAACCGAGCAACCCACCTCGCCGACGCCGACCTCGATTCGATATCCACCCTACTCAGCGACTGCGCCTATCTGCATCGCTGCCCCAGCCAACCCAGCCGATTCGAATCGACATTGCCGTCTCCGAATCCCGACGATAAACATCCGACCCCGTGCGAAGCCTTTGCTGGCCTTTTCCTCGGAGTTGAAAGAGAGAGCAGTGAGAGGTACGCAAGAGACGCTAAAGGGAGGGGCACTGGAGGGGGTTGGATTGTCAACTCAATCTCAGATTCCAGTGATGTCATAGCATTCATCCATTGGGAGACTGAACTGGATCTGAGAAATGAAAAGAAATGAGTGGAGGGAATGATATATGATGTTGAATCTGGAGCTAACCTGTGGCTGTCTTCTCCCTTTCCAGACACATGCCACCGACCCGCGGCATCTTCCATCTTCACCCGCACGCCTGAAGCATTTGTCGTCGATCCAAAGGTTGCCTTTTGTGGGACACGTTAGCTCGTCGCTCCCACCTTGGTCGCTTCAAGTTTTCAGAACTGTGTCGACCGTTGCGGTAAGGGACTCTTTTTTTTTCTGCATTGTCTTGCCTTGCCGAAGCCTGCGCATTCTTCAACCCGTCATCCGAGCCTCACTTCTGCAACGTTATGCATCGCGCAATTTCACAAGCCCCATAGGGCATCGATCACCATCCCATCAAAGATAGGATACACAGCGGGACACTTCCCTCTCTTTCCTTCCACCACCCACCGAGCACACAAAGAAAGTCATCCAGCCTAGATCTGGGCTTTGATGGATCAGATCTGTCCAATCAGCGTGCTCAATTTGCAGTTACCCCTTGAAATGTGGAGTCGCGACATCAACCCGTCTGAGCTCAGAATTGATCAGAGATCCAGGGAGCCTCCTGGCTGTACTCTCAGGAACGGTCCGTCCGTTGCTGGGGACCAAGTCTGCGAAGCGAATCTAGCTGACTTGGAACGTTTAGAAGCCCCTTCAGACGGCATTATTCATAACCTCGTGTGTCCCGGCCACAGGCACACACTCCTCCCGTCACCTTGACGAGAGTCCTTCGACTTCTCGTCTTTTAACAATTTCAACCCAGCCCGGCGTTATCAACAGCCACCGTCACTCCTTCTACAGAAAAGCATCCGAAAGACTTGATATTTCAGCACACTCTCTAATACTTTTAATACTCGTCCGTTTACAGCACGCGATAACTTCATAGACTTGAGCCTCATTCTTTCGGCTCATTTCAACAACTAATACTGCACCAAACGATTTCCAGGAGAACTCGGAACTCACCACTCTTTCAGCCATTGCCACTCTACGAGAATCAAAAACTTCCAACAACAACCACCACACCCACATCAAAATGGTTACCTCACGTCACAACGACGAGACCTTCTTCGTCGAGTCCGATGACCAGCCCGCGCCAAGGGTCAACGTTCGGGATGCTGCCAAGCTCATCGCTCGGAACAAGCAGGAAATGATCGCCAACAACCTTTCGCGACTTGCTTGCGATGAGTACCTTGAGGATATCATGCAGCATATCCGTCACATGGAGGTAAGATTGTGCATGTGCGTTTCTGATTGGGTGGTTCAAATCGTACTGACATGGACTTGAATTTTATAGGATGAGACATTACCCGATGCTAACCTCATCGATATGCAACGCGAGATTCAATGGTTCATGCGCCCGTACCTTATCGACTTCCTTATCGAGGCTCACGCTGCCTTCTCGCTCCTCCCCGAAACCCTCTTCCTCACCGTCAACCTTCTTGATCGGTACTGCTCCAAGCGTGTCGTTTACAAGCAGCATTACCAGCTCGTCGGTTGCGCCGCCCTCCTGATTGCCGCCAAGTATGGAGATAAGAAGGACAGAGTTCCCCAGATCAACGAGCTCAACAACATGTGCTGTGGGCTTTACGATGCCGGCATGTTTACGCAGATGGAAATGCACGTTCTCAACACTCTCGACTGGAACATTGGACACCCGACCGTCGACTTTTTCACTCAGTTGATCGTGGCCGAGGAAAGGGACAGCAGGGATGTCGAACACATGGCGGCATACATTTGCGAGATTGCCTTGTATCACAGGGATTTCGTTTCCACCAAACCATCCATCATGGCACGGGTTTCTTTGGTCTTGGCGAGGGCTATCTTGGGCAAGCCCGAGGTTAATGATGGCGAATGGGACCAGGTCGAGAACGCCACGCTCTTGGCTCTTTCGCAGCACCTTCACCAGCCTTCCGTCACGCTTTCCAGGAAGTATTCCAGCGCATACCTCTCCAAAGTGTCTGGCAAGCTCGCCGACTTCCTCGCTCAGCAGGCCGCCATCAACCGTCGTGGCGGCGCTCCGCCTTCCTCTCCTGGCGAGCTGACCCCCAACTCCAGCAAGGCGTCCAATGTCTACAGCACTCCCCACAAGGGCCTGGGAGCCGTTCCCGGTGCTGCTGATGGATACATGACTCCTCCGATCACCCCCGACGCTGCCAGCTTCGCACAAAACGGCACGATGATGAAGGAATATCCTGCTCCGCGTTGTCCGGTGACCCCGACACCGCAGCCGAACTCGCACAGCCAATCATACCCACCAGCAGCACAACATCAGACTTCAGCATCATCAACATCATCATCAACAAAGGCGCCCTCGTACTTTGAGACCGCGCCGTCGTCTCAAGTCGCTTACTGAGTTGATGTTTCAGTTCAGTTCCCAAGGGTCTTGCTCCAATGAGTGAGTGAGTCCTGTGTATAGTGCTGTGTGTAAGGTTGGTTGGCAGCGAACAAGGTTCAGGTTTCTATATTTCTCTTAACATCCGGCCTGCTACTAAGATGGGGTTTCATGGTCACGCATCCAGATACCATAGTTTTGACAGAAGACATTTTGATTACAACATTTAAATTATCTGGAAGACAAAAGATTGCACTCATCACACACATTCAATCGGCATCATCACGTCACACATCGCACACATTTTTGTTTCGCGCGAAGTGGACACACAATTCAGCGGCATGGCATATTAGCGTTTGACATTTTTATTCTTTTTTTGTTTCTATTATTTTCTACAAACAATATTGAACTACCACCGTTGGGGCAGGTAGTCTTTTTCAAAATGTTTCCATACGATCTTTATTCTCCCCGCATATTGATCTCGTTCTTTTGACCGCTGGTTGAGAACTGTTCGTCTTCGTCGTCGTCGTCGTTCCATCGCGGACTAGACGAAACGGATCCTTCTTCAGCTCACCGGCTTTTTCTCTTCCCCTTCCACCCACCAAAATCAGCAAAAAAAAAGAAAGAGAGGATCGACTCTAACACTCTACGACAACCACAATATAAACATAGGCAAGCAACAACGAGTCGAGAGGTCCCTTTGTTCTCTTATCTTATTGGAAATTTCCACAATGGCAAGGCTGGCACCCACCACTGTGGGCTATCAAGGCGGAAAATCTGGACAAGTCAATCAGACCGACAGACAGACAGACATTTGGATCGAATGGATGGACGGATCAAACCAAATGGGCAGACACAACGGCGCTTTGAAGGTGTTACAAGTCACCACGATCTGGACCACCGGATTGACAAGAGGGGATGGAAATGGAAGGAGAAGAGAAAGAAGATCGGTTATTAGCTGATGGAGGCAGGGAAGGGAAGGCGTCGGATCGGAATTGCGGGGGAATGAAGAGTTGAAAAGGGAATAACCCCAAAAAAAATTTGCATTCACCGTGTAGGATGAAGGATAGGAGGAGAAAGAGGGAGGACCCAACGAACCCCGAGTTTTTGCGTTTTATTTTCAAGGGAAGAAAGGATGTGCGATGCCATGCTGGATTCGATATTGCGTTGGATGGGAAAGGGTTGGAACATTGGACGGACGGCGGCGGACAGGGACTGGACAAATTGATATCAGGCATGCAATGCAACTGGCATACTGGCATACTGGATTGGTAAAGAAAGAACGGACACATCAAATAACTAAATGCCGTTACTGCAACAATCGAGAGAGAAAAGAAAGATAATCCAATCTCCACCACGGCCCTCCCGCTTCCACAGTCGTCGCCATTGTCATTTTCATCGTCGTCGTCGTCGTCACGAACTACCTACCCATTCTCAGTGACAAGATCCCGTCCATTCATTTCAGTTCAGTCAAGAGCAAGACGCACGCACAGAGAGAGAGAGAAGTTTCGTGTCTGCGAGAGGGATAAGGAGGATAAAACCATGGAGAGAAAAGAGGACAAAACAACAACAACAAACTCCGGCAAATAGAGAGATACCCCTGGGCATAAGTTGACTTTTTGTTATTTTTTTTGATATAAATATTCTATTCTACTGCTGCTGCTTTAATTCTCCGGTCCGTTCCCCATTGATTCCTGCGCGTGCTCGTGCTCGTGCTCGTGCTCATACCGCGTACTTGTGCTCTTTGTCGCTTTCCGTTCGATTCAACTTGGTGGTGTTGCGTCACGTTTCGTACAATATATATTCTTCTCCCAAAGGATAGATAAACAGGTAGTAGAGCTACTTGGGTAACTAAGTAAACTAGCTCCCCCGTCCTAACGAGAAGTTGTGACGGAGCAGGACCATGTTGACTTATTTTCTTTTATAGTCTGTCAATAAGGAACTATTATGTCAACCTCTTTTCATCATTTGGACGCACCGCGATGATTCCACCATGATGTGTTGCGTTGCGTTTGTTGTTGTTTGTTCAATTTTTTTTTTCATAACGTGTGATTAAAGCTGCAAAGTGCCTAGGTACCTCGATTCTAGAAATGATAGCCAAGTCGACTAAACACTGAACATGAAATATTGTATCAGGTATCAGGTAGAAGTTACGCAACCTCTTTACATATCTCTAGGTAGTAATCGACGACACGGAGAGGTAGGTAACTTGACGGAACATTCAACTGTCCTCCGAAAGACTGACTGTGGTACTTGGTTAGTGCTCTCCTCGTTCGATATACTTACTCCACAACCTCTCTTTCTCCCGTTCCAAGTCGGTCTGTCCGTCTGTTCAGTCCTCTTCGGCCCTCCCGTCCTCCCTCCCACCCATCCACGAGAGGGAAGGAACACACTGGTTCCAGTTCATGAATGGAATTCTTAATCCTGTCCCTAAATTCCTGCGTGTTGCCTCATCTCCCACTTTACCCCTATGAAAATCCCTCCCTCTAGTAACTCCCTCGGGACCATCCATTCCATTCCATGGTTAACCACTTGGTCTGTTCTATAGTAAAGCTCTGGACTTGGCGTCGCGGCCTGGAATCCTCGAGATCATATGAACAAGTTATAGTTGTCTATTCTAGAGGACTGCAGGTATCAGTGTTATCTGCGGTTTTATCTTCACCTTTTTCGAGTGTCGTCGCTTTTCCATTTCCAAGTTCGTTTCCGCTTGTACAGAAGCTACTTAGCCAGTCAGTCACTATGTTCGTATTCACAAAATGTGAAGACGGCCGATGTCTTTTTGTTCAGAAACCACACCGCGCTTCACTTGGTCAGTGTTCTTGTGAGTGTATTTGAAGCTTACCGCTGCATCTGATCAAAACCCGACTAATCTATTCTTCATACTGAACTGCCTAGAATACCTACTCGGCCTACCAAGGAAGGCTCACTCTCAGACGCAAATCCGAACAGCAGCCATGTTGCAAGATATGTATGTAGTATTTGAAAAGACCTACCCGGTACTCTATCGCTGCGGGAAAAAAAAAAACCACCTGAAAACACAACGCTTCCAAAGGATGTTCTCTATGTTGGAAAACTCCTCCTTCCAGTGTCTGCCTTGGCGCCGCGTGGCTGTTGCATCCACCATAGCATCCTCCACTCATCCCATCATACGTGCCCCTTCCTCGTCCATCGATCCAGTATTCGTTGTCTCTCCTTCTCTCGTGTAGCCTGCAGTCCCTTCCTCATTCCCCTCTCACAGGCTCTCTCTTTGTGCGTTCCGTATGCACCGTGGGCGTGTGCATGATACACCACCAGCGCCGTGCTTCACACAAACACCTAGCTAGACCGACTTCTTCCACTGCTTTCCTTCATGATCTCTCTGTTTTTATTGCCACAGCCACTTGTTGGCCTTGGTGATCCATCTCTGCCGCAAGGCCACAACAACCAGCTGCTCCTGTGCTCAATTGTAATCTAGAACCCAATGGCCGTCCTAAGGCCCGAACCGTTATGGGTCAAAGTTTCCTCCATTTGGGTCACATGTCGGCGCATTAGCCGCCCTGTCCCGGGATTTCGTTGAGTCCTGGTGCCAGCCTCCGACCCTACTGGGATGGCAAGGCGTACTGCTGTGTCCATTCCCGGGCGGTGGCGACGGCAACGCTGGGGTTCTCCTTCCAGGTCTTGGCCACGTCGGGGGCGAGCGGGTCGTCGGGGTTGGGGGCGCCTAGGAGGGCTTGGATGGAGAGGAGGATGGTGCGGATCTGGAGGGCGGGGGACCAGTTGTCTGTCGGGTTGGTATCGTGTGTTAGCTTTTCGGAACTGGCGTATTCAACTATCTCGGCTTTTCTTCCTCGGGACTACTTACTCTTGAGGACGTCGAGGCAGATGCGCCCCAGCTTGTCGACGTTGGGGTGGTAGATCTTGGTAAGGAAGCGGATCTTGGGAGGGGTCATGGGGTAGTCATCGGGGAGGAAGAGTTCGAGCTTGAAGACACCACCTGTGTTGGTGTTTGGTTCTCCTGTTAGCTATCATGTTGTATGTTCTCATGGCGCATTGAAGGTAGAGATGAATGTATCGGGAGCCGTGGGGGTTAAGGAAGACCAACCCTCATATGGCGATTGCGAAGGGCCGTGGATCTCGACGTCGAAATAGCGAAGGTTGTCCTCGTGGGGAACAGCACTAATACCGGGGACACTGCGATCAGGAAGGAAAAGTTAGGACTTTGGTCTAGACTGTCTGCTTCTCGGGATGGGGATGGTATGTACGTACGGCTCCGCCATCAGCCTTTCGGTCTCTTTCACAATCCGCTTCGGAAGCGCCATAATGATTAGATTAATTGCTGTTGGTGTTTAGTGCGAAAGGAAGCTCGGCAAGCAAGTGGGAGAGATTGTGGTGAGGAAAATGTTTGTCGCTGAGGCTGGGAGAGACAGGAGGGCAAGTGGAGGGGTTATCGCCGATTGTATGGATCGATGTAAGAGGGCAGTTAAAGAGGCGTTTCGGAGGCTCCGGTTGACAAATCGAGGCAAACAGTAACGCACAGTGTACTGCGCTATCCTGTAAATAAGGGAACGTCTGGTAAAAGCGGTAGTAAGTAGGTAGGTAGGTAGGTATGGCTAGACCAAAATCGTCGCAAGGCAGTCGATTCCTTGTGAAGTTGTTGGAGACAAGTCGAAATCGGCAGAATCTCTTGCGACACAGGCAATTCACGAGCAAGGCGGGAAGTTCTCGACGACAGAACGCGGGATGGAACTGGAAGCAAAGTGGAAGAAGATGGGTGTGTGGGATGCGCTGACGGCGGGCGTACTTACAAGTAATGAACCCGCGGCGTGCCTCTCTGACCAAACCACTGAATGCCCTGTGACAGCGGTCACGGCCCTGACAGCGACAGCCGGAGGTGACCTACCTACCCTAGAGGTATCCATGTGACGGGATGGAATCCATCATTCATCCATCCCTCTAATCGGGATCTTGCGATAAGCGCACAGACCATATGATTAGTGTACTGGCCAAAGTCACTGCCTGCCACTGCACCACCGAGTGCCGTTCGTGTCTCCAACTGTTCATCGGCGCCTTGTCGAGGTTGACGCCGTTGTCGGGTTGACCTTCCATTGAAGAGAGAGAGACTGGAGTGAGAGAGAGGGAGTCTACTTCTTGGTCGAACGGTTTCTCCATTGCACGTCGACTTGTTTTCAACCTGCCGGCCTTCGTACTTTCTTCCGCTGCTATCGACACCTCTCGATATGTTTTGCATTGATCGACGACGACGACCTCCTGTGATCTCTTCGGTTTGCATTCGACTTCACCATTCCCGAGACGCCCTACGAATGCCAGGTTATTCGTCCTTGGGGGAGCTGGTCTAGTCCAACATAAAGTCTCGTCAAGTCCCGTCAACTCAAATCAACTCAACTCAACTCATCCTTGGTTTACCACTTGAGTCAAACTCCAGCACTGAGAATGGGATGAGGGAGGGTACGCACCATGCTGCACCGTCTCGTCCAATCCTGATCCCGCAATATGCCCTCCGTATTTGACTCTCCGCCAAAGAAGGCGAAAACAATCAAGTCAGCCTTCGACAGTGAGAGCTTCGATGCCGACCTGACCATCCATGTTGATGGCTTGGTGGGCTCCGCCACCATCTCACCCTCGGGCCGTGATGTTGCTCTTGCTTCCCCTGAGGGCCTCGCTATCATAGACCTGGACTCGCCATGGAATCCCCCACGAAGACTGAGCAGCCATGGCCTCCCGTGGCTGGTGGTTGATGTCCAATGGTCTCCCTTTGCAGCTCGTGACTACTGGGTGGCCTCGACAGCAAATCATCGCTGTCTGGTATGGAACCTCAACATGAGGGACGACTCGCCCTCTGGAGCCATCGAGCACTCGTTGCAAGCCCATAGTCGAGCCATCACCGACATTAACTTTTCGGCTCACCATCCAGATCTTTTAGCCAGTTGCTCAGTTGACGGATATGTTCATCACTGGGATCTGAGAAGACCGAGACAGCCTGCTCTGTCATTCTGCGACTGGTTTGCCGGTGCAACGCAGGTCAAATACAGTCGTCAAGACCCTCATGTTCTTGCTTCGGCTCACGATCGATGGCTTCATATCTGGGACGACCGAAAGACTGTCGAACCCCTCAAGACCATTTGTGCTCACACGTCCAAAATCTACGGTATCGACTGGAATCGGACTGACGCCCCCTGCTTGGTCACCTGCTCCTTGGACAAAACCATCAAGTTCTGGAACTACGAAAAGACCGACGAACCAGAGCGGGTCATTCGCACCGACTTTCCAGTATGGCGAGCTAGGCATACCCCTTTTGGCAACGGCTTGCTTGCCATGCCACAGAATGAACCGGGCAACCTTTACCTGTACGATCGGCGAACCGCCCCAGAGGCTCCGAGCGCATCAGAACCCGTTGCCATGTTCTCAGGACACGGAAACCACAAAGTGAAAGAATTTCTGTGGAGAACCCGAGGATCAATCACTAGCGAGGGTGTTGATGAGCGCGAGTTTCAGTTGGTTTCCTGGGGCGAAGATAATGAGTTGCGGTTGCAAAAGGTTGAGCCCGACATTCTTGAGTCCGTTGGCTATGTGAAAGGGAAGACCGTGGTGAAGAACCTGGCCCTCACCCGCAAAGGCGCAGCTTACAAGACTTTCCGCGCAGTCGACGATACTGTCCACCGTGATCGCAGGACTGCTACCATGAGCGACCCGCGTCCCGGAAGCTCGGGTCAGTATCGCAAAAGTGCTCTCAGCTATGGCCTAAATTCCCATCTCCGTTGGGTTGGGCCTACGTGGCGAGGTTCTCCAATGAAGGCCAAGGTGAATGGCGGCAAAAGTATGGACAAGAGTCAATTGCAAATCGGGTGGATGAAAGGTATCTCCATGACCAAGCGGAAATCCGAGTCCGATGGCCCTGGACGAGGTAGCATCAAAGACTCTGGCCTTTTCAGCCATGGTGCCTATGACGATGACTGGGCTGAACCGGAATCCATTCAAGACGAGTTCATCCACGTCAGCAATCGTCTTCCCAACGTGAAATGGGAAAACATCGATATGGATGCGTTGATTCTCAATGCCTCATTGAAGGGGCCATGGGGCTTCAACGACGAGGGAATCTTCATCAAGGTTAAAGTCGATATTCCGACCAGCTATCCCACCAGCAAGGCCCCCAAGTTTTATGTCGAAAAGACATCCTTCATGCCCGAAGAAACTCACGAGAAGATTGAGCGCGAGCTACAGATACTTGGCAACCAGTTCCTTGAAAGGAAACAAAACTGCCTCGAGGTGGCCTTCTCATACTTGCTCGGCGATGTCGACCTCGAAAATAGTACTACCCTCTTTAAGAATGTCAGGGATCTCAACGACGAGGAAATCGAAGCGCTAGCAGACGAAAGCTCCAGTGACGAGGAAGACAGCGATGTCCAGGCTAGAGGATCTGTCTCAATGTCACAGGACCTTACGGCGAGCACTGAACTTGATCCGACAGCCACCCTTGCTCCAACACAACGCCCCATTGCAGTGCCAACGCCCAGAAAGTGCGGAGCGAGATTTTCCAACGACGGCAGACTTGTGTGCTTCTTCCCCTCAAAAGAACAACAAGCCCTCGCACTATTCTCCATCTCCAATTCGGACGCCTACCGCGATCGACAGAAAGGAGAACCAAATTTTGCGGGTTTCGGTCGTCTCACCCAGGATTCGCCGCCTCCAAGACGTAGATACAATGATGATGACTCGGGTTCTGACGATATGAGTGATGGGTCGGAAGACACAGAATCCAGCTCCTCCAGCGACTCGGAGCCGTCAACGATGCACAAGATCAGTCTATGGCATCAACCTGGTGGGCGTAGTCTCAAAAAGACATGGAGTACAAACGACTCGTTGCGCTCCAGCGGAGGAGGCACCGGCGCTGGTACCGGAACCGGAACGGGGATCAGTCGAAGAAGGCTCCCAGCCAGGCCTAAGAATATCATTGCCCTTCACGATTTGCGCAGCCTACTTCCATCGCAGAAACAGTTTGCTCAGGAGTATGCGATCTTTGGCGATGGCGCTGAGGTGTGCATGCACAATGCCATGGTCGCGGAGAAATATGGGTATCACGACCTCGTTCATATATGGCATTATGCGGCCATGTTGTTGCGGAATGACATCCCGCTTGAAATCCATGAACAGCAAAATAGAAAAGAGTCTGTCCTTGTCATAGCCAGGGACGCCTCTGCACGGGTTCGGGATGACGAGTATGCACAGCACTTTGGTTGGGACAGTAATTTATCTGGCCGTGTCAAGTGGGGTTACCACCCATTAGCCCAAAGCTTGATTGCCGACCTTTTCAACCATTTTGAAAAGGTAGCTGACATCCAGATGCTAGCCATGCTGGCTTGCATCTTCGGAGACTCGTCCGCTGAGGACGGGGTAGCCTATGCAGGCTCACATCTTCCCCAGCCTGAGACACCCCTGCCTATGAAAGCCCCTTCCTTTTCACTAGAGTATTTCCCTACCGACCCAGCATTATGGCATATTAACTACAAGAGTCAAGCTAGTAGTGCCATCACGACTCCCAGAACCGTCCATACTCCTGCAATATACTCAGAGTCACCAGGAATCGAGGACGTCGTAGCTTTACTTGAGCCTACACCCAACTCCTTCTCCGCTGGCGAAACTCCCCCGAAGATGTCTCGAGATCATCTACGAGAAGGCGACCAAACTCAAAGCCTATCGACATCGCCTAGCAATAGGCTCTTTACCCGCTCCAACACGGCTGTTTCTGCAGCTTTCAGCCTCCCGAAGACACTGGCTGGAATGGTTTCGGGGTCACCTCCAGATCCCCCACCACGCAAGCGGCCCAGCCCTGCCGAAGCCATCTTCAACAACCTTGCTCCAAGTGTTACCTGGGGAACTTCAACCGTGTTTGGGGGTACGGCTCCCGAAACACCGGGTACGGCACGAACTTCACTCTCAGATGATGAGGGTAGAAATCATGATATGACGGTCTTGGTACCTGTTGCCGTCTCGGTCGTCCCAGAGAACCAGGGCCTCTTTGACGACGATGGATGGCTGAACACGCCTCTTCTCGATCCAAGCCGCAACCATGTCTACTCGTATTACCGTTATGCCTACGCCGAGATGCTGCAAATGTGGGGCCAGCCTTTATCTCGCCTCGAGATCATGAAGTTCAATGTCCTCAAGGGCGACAAGACATCGAGCTCTGGGTGCTACAGTGATGTCACGCATAGCATAGATGGCTACTACGATCACGAAACGGCTGAGAATACCGCTGCTAACAGTGCCAGCCAAAACCCTGCCTTTGGCGGACGGAAAGAACAGCTCCAGGCTTTGATCGCCTCTGGTCGCGGCCTTGATGTTACGGGCATTTGCCGCATTCATGAAGAGCAGCTTGATCCGGTGGAGTACACCAGGCCGACCAAGGGCAAATACGGCGGTGCTGTTGGTACATGCCATAGGTGCGTTAAAGCAGGTAACAAGAAAGAACAGAAACAGCTGCGCTGCGTGTACTGTCTCGAGCCTATCGCCGCGCTTTACCCACCTTGTCTCAACTGCGGTTGCGCCTTCCACGAAGCCTGTCTGGCTGAGTGGCACGAGATGGGCGAAGAAGAATGTCCAGCGGGTGATGACTGCTGCTGTGTCGAAGATGCCAGCACCGCGCACGTGGAGAGATGGTCGGCCTTGCAAGCTGCCGTGGCGGCCATGAATAAGATGAGAAGCGCCGCCAGCGGAAGTCTACACCAGCAGGTGGACCGCGACAAGGAGAAAAGCTCAGGCAATCAGTCGGGTATATCAAGAAGATCTTCCATCAAGACCGTCCTGACCGGCGTCGCCAGTGTCGCCACCGGAGGCACCGGCAGCCGACCGCGTCGCCGAAGCGTACCTACCGACCTCGCCAAATTCATGCGCGGCGGCCGCTCCGATCCCAATGCCTACCGTCCGAACGACGACAACGACGATGACTACGACGAAGACGACGATGATCTCCCCACTATCGCCATCACCAGCTCCAACGGCGGCTCCAGCGACCGCAGCCGCAGCGCCCACCCTACCAATCGCCGCGCCGTCTCAACCGCCTCCCCCTCCGGCATCACCACAAACACAATCCCGCACCAGTTCGGCCGGCGTAGAGGCGGTAGTTCCGCCTCTCACCTCGCCGCCACCGGCGGCTACAGCAGTGGCTACGGCCATCGCTCCTCCAACCTTTCCCACTTTTACATCGCAGCCGACGACAATTCAGGTGACTCCGCCGACTCCAATAACGAAGGCACCGCCACCACCCAATTCCCGGCCTCCAACTCCAACCGCACCTCGCAGACTCTGCTCTCAGGCAATGACATTGACCGCGAAGAGTGGGAATCCGTCGCTTCCTCACGCGGCATACCTTCGCTTTCGAATGACCCGCTCCACCCTTCGCACCCTTCGCACCATTCTCGATCCGGTTCTCGATCCGGGAACTCTTCCCGATCAGCCTCTGGCGGCTCCGACACAGGTGGGAAAGATACCATCACCACATCATCGTCGTCGTTGACGACGACCCCGAGAGTAGGTGACAGTGGAAGCGAAAACAGCAAAAGACCACCACATCACGAACGCACGCCCAGCGGAAGAGGATTCACGGCGCTGAAACCGCCACCCTACGGAGACGAGCCGATAAGCGCGGCGAGATTGAGTTTGGGGAATCGGTTGAAGAAACATATTGCTGGTGCTGCTAGTGCTGCTGCTTCTTCTGGTTCTTCTGCTTCTGGTGGTTCAGGGTCTGGTGGAAACGGTGGGAACGCTGGGAATGATAGCGGTGGTGGGGGTGAGACTACTGGTGTTGCAGGAGGGAGTGGCGGTGGTGGCGGGAATGGTAACGGAAGTGGGAGTGGAGGTACCAGCTCTTTATTGGGAGGTGGAGCACAACGACCGAGTTTGTTGAGGAAGAAAAGTACAGGTGTTGCTGTGTGGAGAGGCGGTAACTAGATTAAAGGGACCAAAGAAAAAGGAGACCGAGGTTGACGGTTGAAGGCAAGTACTTGCTAGATGGTAATGTAAGGTGTAGCAAATAGGTTATCGAAAAGGGATCTTGAATCGAAGTCATCACCCACTTCACTTTGAATTTCGGTTTTCACTTCACGTCTCTTTACCTCGATTTGTATTCTAGTTCACCTTTTTCTTCACTTCTTTCTACTTCTTTTACGTCCTTTATTTTTTTTCTTCTTCTCGGTTCATACAAATACGTAACCTCTCTCTTCACTTTCTTCTTGACTTCTCTTCACGTATTTCTTCACCCTTCCCCTTTTACTTCTCTTTATTTTGCGTCTCTCTTCACTTGGCTTACCCAACGGCACCTTCACCCCTCTACTACTTACTCTACGTTTTTTCCAGCAAAAATTAGCATCGCCATATGTAAAGGGCGACAAGCGTGCCACCAATTGTCACAGGACACTGCACACAACCTTAACATGTTCCTAAACAGTCTACACATTTCGCATTCAATCTTATTTTGAAGAGCCTACTATCAATTTTTTTTCCATTGGTGTTGTCGTGATGGCCACTATCTATGCACTCCCCACCCACTCGCTAACACGGGTGTTGAAGTTCCATACTTGTACGTTGTGTAAGAATCAACCAGATTTCCTCTAATTCTAAAACTGTAAAAGATACCGACCGCTCTCTGCCTTTTCTCAAGGACCATCAAAACTGCTGAAACTCGCCAGAAAAAAAAAAAAGACAAGTATCATGCCCCGCCTGCGCTTCTGTCTAAAGCTGAACATTTATAAAAGCAGATATATATATAAATATATGCCTGAACGCGCCGGCTGCGCTTCTCCGTGTTCTACCACACACACATCCTTTGATTAATCCCCACAACCACCTGAAATGCCTGCTTCAATGACAACGATAGCTTGCACAGCAAACAAGACGAACGGCTACTACCAGTCATCCTCATCATCATCTCTCTTCGCCATCGCCTGCTTCCTCGCCTTCAAGGCATCCGCCAAACTGCCCGCTATGCTCGGCGTCGGGGTACTGCTCCTGCTCGCATCGCTTCCTGATCCGTTCGCTCCGTTCAAGCTCATGCCCGAATCCCTATTCTGCAGCGAGGCCACGGCGGGCGCGGGCGCGGGCTTACGGCCAGCGACTGGTCGCTTGGCCGGCGGCTGAGGAGCTACGCGACCGCCACCGTTGGCAGCGGGGGGAGGAGGAGGAGGAGGACGGGGCGCGACGACAGGAGGTGCGGGGGCTTGCTCTTCTACGTATGCGGCAGGAACCCAGGCTTGGCCTTCGGGGGTCTTGGCTAGCCACCAGCCTGTGATAATGGTTGTTAGGATTTCTATATATTCAAGACGAAGATAAATGGCTAGGGAGGGGCGGGGAACATACCATTGTTCTCTTTCTGGACAATCTCAATTATATCTCCAGCCTTGATGGAGAGCTCGTTTTCCCTTGTACCAGCAAAGTCATACAGTACCTTGGCCATGATCTTAGGCTTAGCAGCCGGCGCTGGAGGAGGCGGCGGCGGAGGGCGCACGGTCGAGGTGCTAGACTGCTGCCTCGTGTGACTGGGAAGGGACTTGGCAGCGGCCGTGGTAGAGGCTGCCCCAGGGTGAGCGGGAACAGGCCTGCTAGAAGCCGCAGTGGCAGAAGAAGCAAGAGGGTTGGAAGCAGCGATAGAAGGACCGCCACCGGGCCGGGGCTGAGCCGTGCGGTTCGGGTTGGCATTTCTTGCTGGTCTTCCACCAGGACCACCAGGCTTGATAAGCTTGCCCTTGGTGATAGGCCTTGGAGGAACAGGCTTGGCCTTGGGTTGGGGCCTGGACACAGAGTTGGGAGGCTCGCCAGGCTGAGTATGAACAGTACTGCTCTTGTAGAAGTCCTGCGAGGTTGGTGCATCCTTCAACACCTTGACCAACTGCATCTTGCCGGGTTTCTTGGCGTACTCAATGGCGTCGCCAATCTTCAGATTGAAGCTTCCGGGCATGACCCTCTTCATCTGCGTGAACATCTCTGTCTTGAGCACGCAGTTGAGTAGGGGATCGGGCTCTTGCTGCGACCCAACACCCAGGGAGAACCAGTCGTCTCTAGCGGTCGACGCCCCGATGAACTTGATGGAAGCCAATGGGAATGCCTTCTCTGCCATGATCTGAACGTGACCCTGATTGAGAACCTGGGCGACGATGTAGAACTTGCTGTTGGTCACGACCAGGATTCTAGGACTAGGCTTGCTGGAACGACCAAACTTGTGCTCAAGAAGCTCACCGCGGCAAGAGAAGACTGCTTTCTCGTTGCTACCAATGCCGATGGCATTGCGAATCTGAGCACCAGGACCGGTGGTAGCATTGATGCCAAGGTAGTCACCCAAGAACCGACGGGAACCAAGAATAGACATTCTCCTGCGCTCCTTGCGGCCTCCCAACACCTTATGGCCTTCTTCACGGAGCTGCAGGTACTCGGCACCAACGCGTTTCTTCCTCCAGATACGCTGGATACGGATGGCAGCCTCTGCCCTGTATGCAAGGTACGCACGCCACATGCGCTGAATGCGCGTCGCCATGTTATGCCAGTACCTGTCTCTCATATGCTCCAGAGCGAACAAAGTCTCGGGCGACTTGATGAAAGCCTTGGTCACACCTAATTGCCACTCCTCCTGCGGGATACTCGTGTCCTTGAGGATTTGCTTCGTAGCCGCTTCGTAAGAGCCCGTCCAGGTATACTCACCAGCGTATGATGTGGCAGGCGAGAGTAGGAAGAAGCGGTCGACAAACTTCTCGAACGACTGACGGTATGCGAAACCGGCGCGGCGAATGCGAACGTTTTCTTGAAGACCGAGATACTTGACCTGATGAAGAACATTGGGCTCGTTGTACTCTGTTGGCGACTTGTTCTCGTTGGGTTTGATAGTACGGATATATGAAGGCTGGCACTTCATCAGAGTATCGACTAAAGCATTCGCGGAAGTTCTGATTCTGTCACCGGCAGAAGGGGGCTGCCTGCGGTTGTCCAAGTCGACCTGCTGGGGGAACAGAGTATGAACGAACTGGTTCTGGCTGGCCTGGAAGAGATTCTGGACACCCTTGAGAAGCAAATCCTTGTTCTTGTCCGTGATACCGTCCACACTGTACGTTACATCACCGGCGTAGTGCTTGACAATAAAAGCACCCTGACGGGGCGTAAGATGGGGGTTCGACATGCCGTTGATGCTCTGCATGAAGGTGCGGTCGGAAGCCGCCGGATCAGCGTGGGCAGTCTTGGTGGCATCCTTCATAGCAGAGAAAATACCAGGGGGCCTGGTAGACTCAATCAAGTCGCACACAATCTTGTTGTCAAAGTACTTGATGGGCGTCCACTTGATCTGTTCCCTCGCGTACTCATCCTGCTCGGCCTTGAGTGTCAATTGGATGAAGATTTGCTGGAGCTTTTCGTTCACGTAGTTGATACAGAGCTGTTCAAAGCTGTTCTTTTCGAAAATTTCGAAACCGTAAATATCAAGGATACCAATCGAGTTCGTCGTAGCTTGGCGAGCTTTGAGCGACAAGTTGATGCGCTCCACAATCCAGTCAAACAAGTTGTAGTAAATGGCCATTGCCAGGGCATCTCTTGTCGCGGTAGCCTGGGGAACGTTGGCGGGAGACTCGATAACCTCACCGGGTCTTGGGGTCAAGATACGGATCGTGAGGGCGTGGACCAGCTGAGCGGGATCAACCTCGAGGAGGTATGCCAAGAAATCAACCACGGACTGATCTGATACAGCAGCATATCCATCATCACCCTCCTTAAACACCAGGTTTCCTGCCCAAAGAATAGCCGACAGCATTCGGAAGATATTGTCCTGTTCCTGCTGCGAGAGACCGATAATCTTCATAGCATTAAGGGTATCCTGGTACTCGGCCAAATCATCGATACCGTCGACATCGAAGCACTTGGCCTTGCTGGTATAGAGGTATGTTTCGGGTTTCTGGATGCCGTACATTTCGCGGTACTGCTGGGAGGCTCCTTTTGTGAATTGGTAAAAGATGTGGAAGTTACGCTCGTTGGCGATCTGGCCGACGACACGGCTCTTCTCAAGGAGGTAGTTGGTGATGTCGGCACCGATGGGCTCGCCCTGAGCGTTGAAGTGAATCTGGAGGTACTTGCCGAAGCGGGACGAATTGTTATTTCGCAGCGTCTTGGCGTTACCGAAGGATTCAAGCAGAGGGTTTGTCGCGAGCACCATGTCCTTGATCTGCTGGATATCCCCCGACCCGCCGCCAGACACGTTGGCGATGTACTGCATGATGCGCTTGGCCGCCTCGGTCTTGCCGGCTCCGGACTCGCCCGAAATGATCACGCACTGGTTCTCGCTGTAGGCCTTCATGTTGTAGTAGGCAGATTCGGCAATGGCGAAGACGTGAGGGGGCATCTCCAGACGGTTCTTGCCCTTGTAGCTCTCGAGGACCTGGTCGGTGTAGATGCCCAGGTCGCGAAAGGGGTTGACGGACACCAAGACATGGCCGATGTATGTGTAGATCTCGCGTCCCTCGAAGCGCTTCTTCAAGTTCTCGTTGATGGCCTCGTTGGAGACCTTGCTGAGTAGTGTCAGGTCTGATACACCGATCTCCTTCTTCTTGGTGGTGTCGAAAGTGGCCTTCTTGGGCTTGGCCGAGCTGGACTTGTCTCCGCCAGCAGAGCGCTCGGCCCGCGCGGCCTTGTCCTTTGATCGCTTTGTGATACCCTGTGAGGATAGAAAGACATTGGTTAGTGGTTGTCGAACTGTGTAGGTTGTTGTGATAATGCGCAGAGTATTCGGCACATCCCCTTGGTCTTGGATTGGAGTGGGCTTGGGCCGGCTTGTGGAGGTCGGATGATGCTACTCACCATGACGGGTGTTGTGTCTCTGTGTCTCTCTTTGGTGTACTTTCAAGCTGTCTCCTGAACTGCTATGGCCAGCAATTCGCGCTTCCCACCAAGGCTGTCGTGGGATATGTTTGTAACGATCGAATGTCCGCGATGACGGGTATTAGGTGCGGACCGGTAGTAGCGTGCGGTGTGCTGTGAAGCGGGGTGGTGGTGGTGAGGGCGGTATGTCAGAGGATGGAAGAGAGGGAGACTGGACTTGGAAGACGTTGGAGTTGCAGCGAGTGTGAGGTGTCGCAGCAGTAATCGCCCGCCCGTTCAAGTCGCCGTTCCTTGGAGAAGATGCGTAATCGCTGGTGCTCCGCCTCCCCTGGCAGGAGCAACGGGAACGTCCTCTGTGCCAATCCCCCATTGTGCACTGGTACCTGTACCCTTAATCACCGGAGTTGGTGCCTAACGCTGACCGGCCTTCTACACTATAGCGGGACACATGTACAGTGACGAAGGCCGCGAACGAAACCCACAAGGTGATCCACTTTGTTGGGCCTTGACGGGTCTTCCCCGCCAGCCGACACGATGAAATGAAAGGGATAAGCCAATCAGAGAAGCTCCCCTTGTACTTCACAGCCACACTGTCTGACATTCAAGCCACCGATAGACTTGAGTTCAAGTCATTGTCTTTGAAGCCGAAAGCCACGCAAGCAGATGGTCCGAGTTGCGGTCCGCATCGATTCAGTTCTTGGCAGTCTTGAAGCTCTTTGAACTGCGTGACGTATACCTACTGATTTTACACCATTTTGAGGCTCTCGTCCAACTCTCGCCAACAGGAATAGCCTCATCTATCTTAACAAACACTATACCCGTAGATCAACTTTGTGGCTTATTCTTTACTGGGCTCTGACCGTCAACGCGACTCGCGGAGATTTGTCCTTCATTTAACTTGACTGACAATCGTCGATATCTCATCTTATCCGGACCAAATTTCCGGACAGTCATTTGCAATGTCAACTGCCTCCTTCCCGTCCTGGAATGGAGAACTGAGGTGGAAGGGAGGAAGCCTCAAAGAACAACCAAAGAAGCAGAGAATTGACCATCCTTATATAAGTACCCATTGGAAGCCCTCCAAGCTTGGTTCTTGTGTTAGGTCTGTTTCCCTCTCAACACCAGGAACGCCGAGGTTTCGAGAGATTATCGTACGATATCCCCCACGTTTGGTTGTACCCATGATCGCCTTCGCCCTTCCAGGCATGCTGCCCAACCGCCTCGTGGTGAAGACAAGGTTTAAATCAAATCGGCACTCTTCCTTGCGTGGCCCCCGACACATGGTATCATCAGCCTTCTTGAACTTTTGTTTTTTCTTTTTTTTGTTCTATCGTTGTTTGGATTTTGCATATCTTTGCTATCGTGCTGCCCTCGGGAGAGTCTTATATGAGGGAGTTGAGGTGTCCGTCTCAACAGCTCAATCATGTTCAAGGCACACTCGAGTTTATCCCCGAGCTCAGCCATAATACCGCATTCAATTCTCCCGGCAGGCAGCAGAGGCAACCCTTAATCTTTTTCGAAAGGCTTCCCTCTGCAGGACACACATACCGCTTCTCGTTTCACTATACGTTCAAAGTCACCCCGAGAGGATTCGGAGCCCCTCTCTTCCAGCCTTCCTTGGCCCCCGTGGTCCCCCTGTCTGACCTCAAACGAAACCAATGCATGATACCTTACCCGACGTTGGACGATCATTGACTCTTCCTAGTTGGGCCTCCTGGAAGCCTTAAGCCGGGGATACGTCGGTTGTACCGAAGAAGCTCTAACAACCAAGGTCTAGCGCCCGGATATAAGATCAAGCTTAAACTTCAAGATGGCACTCTGAAGTTGCCCACCAGGTTCTGTAGCCCGGAACGACATGGGAGCTCGGACCAGTAGTTTTTGCTCAGCTTGTCTCGATGCTTCAGCCCAAGAAATATTTAAGACAAATCACTCCTAAGCAACCATTTTCAACCACGCAGCGCCTTTTGCTGAGTTGTCGATTCGAGGGAAGAGCAGTAAACATTCAAACATGAAGTGGACCTCATCGCCGGACTCGAGCGCTACTGACACCCAAACTGCAGGTGCCGCTGAGAGGAATCATGTCTCGCAGAGGCCAGAAGAGTCTGGGTCATCAGCCCACCAAATCATTCCATGGGCCCTGATGCCTATGCGTAGCCACGGCCAAGAAGTGATAGCGTTATGTTTAAACATATCACGGTTGGTAGATCATGTTCAAGATGCAGTCATTTCACATTGACATGTTACCGCACCTAGAGGTACTCTTGCCCCTCGGGTCAGTTGCGATAACTAGGTATGGTGTAGTATACGTGACCAAACATGTAGTCCTGAACTGGATTCGAGCTTGTCACCTTACCAGGCAATTGCGAGATATCATTGGGCAAAAACATGAGCTCTCCTGCAGGACGCCATCCTTCTCTGGTGTCTAGCGCCGCCGGGAGCATGTCACTGGGAGATTTGGAGGGACTGCACAAAGGACCAGGGACGATTCGGCCTGTTCGAGACGAGCCTCCCCTGTCCGTAACCCAACCGTTAAGCGCCGGGACGATATGGGTGTGACAGCATTTCCTGATTGGGCCTAACTTTTCACTTGGTTTTCTTGGGATTCTGGACCCTGAGGCGGCTTCTGTGCATCTTTTTCCAGATCTCTCTTTCCCTTTTAATCCTTTCCTCTCCCGTTACTCCTTGCCTCTCCAAGCTTCATTGTTAACATGATGATGAGGAGCAACGACGACAACACCATCTTCAGAAGCTAGCAAATAAAGCCGACGGACAATACCACGCTGTATAAGAGGACGCTACTACGCTATAGTCAACCCCTGTCGCAGTCGAAACATCTCAGGTCGCCTCACACAACCCCCTCGTCAAAGCGTCTCTAACGGTTTTCGTCTCAACTTCTCTCCACCAACTGTCGCAAAGACGTTATCCGTCTGGTGGGAATCTGACACACCTATACTGGAGTGTGAACACCGACTATACGGTTGACACCTAGGTAGCCGGTACCATTCAGCAGAACCAAAAGCTGCTTTAACTGCGTGTCCCGCAAGGAAACTCGGGTTGTCCTATTGCCGTGTTCCCGGTCTGACCATTAACCCCGGACAATAACATCACCACTACAACCATCAACGGTCATTGATCGACGGGATTCCTGTGGGTGGCCGACAAGCATCCTACTCACTCCAGTCTTGGATCCATCAACCATCCTCCCTCTTGAGGTTGGCTTCCCCGCGTATACTTCTTGTCGTGGTTCCTACCATCTCTCTTTCTCTTCCTCTCCTTGTGAGGTAACACGGACTCTCTTTTCTCTTGAGCCTTACAGTTACTTCACCCTTCCATTCTCTTTAGCTGCTGGCTCAGACCACTCTTTACTTTTTATTCTTACATTAGTGTGTGTGTTTTCTTGGGTTCACCGTGCTTCATCTTTACCGACCTGATTCATCGACACGAATATCGATATCAGATTGTTTAGGAAGACAAATCACTTTTTGAATATCAGAGTGTCGGCAAAGGGAGTCTTGCGGTCTCTACATCAACCAGCTACCACGGCTTTCGATACCCTCGAGCCTTACACCGAGTGTTGACGAGTCGCAGGTCGACATTCATCAACTTCCGAAACTCATTTGTGTTATTGAGGGCGGATTGAACGGAGGGGGGATCTAGCGGTCGCCAACATGAGTCTCCTCGTACTGCTGAAGAAGCAGCTTACGCCAACTAAGCTGCTTTTCCATGTTCTCTTCTGGACATTTCACTGGGGAATCTTCGCTTATGGATGGTACGTTTTCATCTTGTCAGCCGGTGGTGGATGGGGCTTAGGACTTGGTGAGCAAAGGCAATGTTGCTGACACAACAATCAACAGGTGGAAGCAAGCATCTGATGCCCGCCTAGCGGGTCTCAACAAATTACAGTACTCGGTCTGGTTCTCTCGAGGTGCCGGTCTAGTGTTGAGTGTAGATGCCATGCTCATCTTGTTGCCAGTCTGCAGAACGATCATGAGGTTCATCCGACCTAAGATTAGATTCATCCCACTTGATGAGAATATCTGGATGCATAGACAGCTTGCTTACGCTATGCTTCTCTTTACCGTCATCCACACCTCATCTCACTACGTCAAGTAAGTATCGCCCGCAAACCACTGAGAAATACCAAGAATACTGCTAACCTGACAACAGCTTTTACAACGTTGAAAAGACACAGATCCGACCCGTATCGGCAGTCCAGATTCACTACGCTCAGCCTGGCGGTATCACCGGCCATGTCATGCTTCTTTGCATGCTTCTGATGTACACGACAGCCCACCACCGCATCAGACAGCAATCCTTCGAGACCTTTTGGTACACTCACCACCTCTTCATCCCCTTCTTCCTCGCCCTGTACACCCACACAGTTGGCTGCTTCGTCCGCGACACTGCCAGCAGCTTCTCGCCCTTTGACGGTAAGCAGTACTGGGAGCACTGCATCGGCTACCTCGGCTGGCGCTGGGAGCTTTGGACAGGCGGCTTTTACCTCCTCGAGCGCCTGTATCGCGAGATCCGTGCTATTCGTGAAACCAAGATTACCCGTGTGGTCCGCCACCCTTACGACGTCGTCGAGATCCAGTTTCACAAGCCCTCATTCAAGTACAAGGCCGGCCAGTGGCTCTTTTTGCAGATGCCCCAAGTCTCCAAGTACCAATGGCACCCCTTCACCATCACATCGTGCCCGTACGATCCTTACGTCTCCGTGCACATCCGCCAAGTCGGTGACTTCACCAGGGAACTCGCCAATTCCATCGGCGCCGGCCCTGCCCAAGCTAAGCTCTATGACGGCGTCGACCCGAATGGCATGTACGAAGTCGCCCTGATGAACGGCGACCACCTTCCCCCTCTCCGCATCGATGGGCCCTACGGTGCGCCTGCCGAAGACGTCTTTGAGAACGAGATCGCCGTGCTGATCGGTACGGGTATTGGCGTCACCCCTTGGGCCTCCATCCTCAAGAACATCTGGCATCTGCGCAACGGGCCAAACCCGCCTACACGTCTGCGCCGTGTCGAGTTCATCTGGGTGTGCAAAGATACCTCTTCGTTCGAGTGGTTCCAGATTTTGCTGAGTTCGCTGGAGCAGCAGTCGAGCGAGGCAGCCCGGATCCCCGGATCAAGCGGAATAGAGTTCCTTAAGATTCATACGTACCTCACGCAGAAGCTGGACATGGATACCACGCAGAATATCGTGCTGAATAGTGTCGGTGCCGAAGTGGATCCATTGACGGAGCTGAAGGCGAGGACGAATTTTGGTCGGCCCAACTTCCAAAGGTTCTTTGAGAGCATGCGGAATGGTATTTTGGATCGGACGTATTTGAATGGGTTGGAGGGCAATATGCGGACGACGGTCGGAGTGTATTTCTGTGGACCTAGTGCTGCTGGTGAGTTTTTCCTTTTTCCCCCCAAAAACCATTTAGTGATTATTGAGGATTTGCTTACTGACATGGTTTTCGAACAGCCCGTGATATCCAAAAGGCGGCTAAGACGGCGACGACTCGTGAGGTCAATTTTAGGTTCTGGAAGGAACACTTTTAAGTTATTCTTTTTGACTTTATACACATATACCGTACACGTGTACATGTATATACTTCTTGGATTGATACCTACAGTTTCCCTTTTGGCTGTTGTCATGTCATCATCGTGGAGTGGTGGGATACCTCTTTGGCATAGCATTGATCATCATTATCATCCATTTTCCATTCATCAGTGAAGTTTGCTAGTCAGAGAGGAGTGTAGTGCGAACGAAGACATGAATTGGTGATTGATTGCGAATAAGATTAGTTGTGACTTCTCCCCAGTCAACTTCTGGTGCCTCATCATTGCTGTAGAGGTATCCAAAACTGAGAAATCCTCGTCTCGTGAAGTGGCCGAGCTAAGCACGCAAACAGTCAGTCACAGTCCAGATTGAATCTGATGAAACATAATGTTAGCCTTCATCCACAGAAACCCTTTTCTGAGCTCATTTTGCTGTTGAACCTTCGAACCTTTTACACTTACCATATAAACCGTATCAGTGAAACCAGCCAAGACGTGACGTATAGGAGGTGGCTATGCGTCAGGTGGCTTCATTGCGTCGTGGCTTTCACCTTCCTGTTAGTGTTACTGTTACGGCGTTGTTCCCAAATAATCACCAACAGAATGATACAGATACCCAAGGTACCTGCCTCTGGTGGGGTTCAGGACGCGGACTCGACTGGCGGTGACAGAAGTTAGGTGGCGGGGTTCATCCAATGGATCGGTGCCTGTCTCATAGGCCCCGCCATTCTGGAACCGTCCGAGTGTAGCGGGTCGAGTCGTAGCTGCAGTGTGGTACCAGTGGCAGCAGCGTATCCCGTCTCGTGTTGGGGTCTTGGGCCTTGATCTCCAGTCGTTGCTTTGAGCTTCCCGTCTGTCAGCTCGTATTGTCTCCTCTTGTGTCCCACGTCACTTGCTCTCTGGGAATCTTTTTATAGCTGAAGTTGCTCCTCTGTTCCAATTAATTGTTGACTATATCATATGTCCCCTTTTCTTTCTCCATCGATTTCTCTGCTTCCTCAACCATCCACAAGCTAGAGCACCAGTTCCTCCAAATAGATTGTCCCGACTCCAAGTAACACCACTGCCCCTCCATCCCGACATTGAGAGCTTCCGTCCCATCGATTGCACCCCTCATTTCGTATCATATATCCAACCATAACTAATTCCGAATAATCACAATGGCCGTCGGTCCAGTACCGACCCCGGAGCAGGTCTCCGAGCTCAAGGACAAGTACACCAACGCCGGCCAGGGCCAGGTGTTCACCTTCTACGACTCCCTTTCGAGCGAAGAACAGGCGCAGCTCTACAAGCAGCTCGCCGGTTTCGATCCCCTCTATATCAACAAGATTGCCGCCAAGGCGCTCACTCCTCAGTCCTCTGATAGTGAGAAGCCCACCCTCGAGCCATTGCCCGACTCGGCCAGAGCCAGTACCTTGGACTCCGATAAACAGACTCAGGATGAGTGGTGGAACCGCGGCCTGCAGCTGATTGCTGACAATAAGGTTGCTGTTGTCCTCATGGCGGGCGGTCAGGGCACCCGTCTTGGCAGTTCTGCCCCCAAGGGCTGCTTCGACATCGGTCTGCCCTCTCACAAGTCTCTTTTCCAGATCCAAGCCGAAAGGATCGCAAGACTGCAGGTGCTGGCTTCGGAACGCCGCGAGCAGGCCGGCTCCCCGGTGGTGCCATGGTACGTCATGACGTCCGGCCCTACTCGCAAGGCCACCGAGGACTTCTTCAAGACCAACAACTACTTCGGCCTCAGCCCCGACCAGGTTATCATCTTTGAGCAGGGCGTGCTTCCCTGCATTTCCAACGATGGCAAGATCCTTCTTGAGAGCAAGTCTAGGGTTGCCGTCGCTCCTGATGGCAACGGCGGCATCTACAATGCACTCGTTGACGCCAAGGTCCTCGATGACATGGCCCGCCGCGGCATCGAGCACGTCCACGCCTACTGCGTAGACAACTGTCTCGTCAAGGTCGCGGATCCTGTCTTCATCGGCTACTGCGCTTCCCAGAACGTCGATATTGGTACCAAGGTGGTACGCAAGCGCAACGCGACCGAGCCCGTTGGACTTATTCTCCTCAAGAATGGCAAGCCGGACGTCGTCGAGTACAGCGAGATCGACGACGCAGTTGCTGCCGAGGAGGACCCGGCGCAACCTGGAGTGCTCAGGTTCCGTGCCGCCAACATTGTCAACCACTACTATTCGTTCCGCTTCCTCAAGTCGATTCCCGAGTGGGCGAGCAACCTGCCACACCACATTGCCCGGAAGAAGATCCCCTATGCGGATCTGGAGTCGGGAGAGACTGTCAAGCCTGAGAAGCCGAACGGCATCAAGTTGGAGCAGTTCGTTTTCGACGTCTTCCCCTTGATTGAGCTTTCCAAGTTTGCTTGCATGGAGGTTAAGCGCGAGGATGAGTTCAGCCCGCTTAAGAACGCCAGGGGAACGGGTGAGGATGATCCGGATACCAGCAGGCACGATATCATGGCGCAGGGACGCAGATGGTTGGAGGCGGCTGGTGCCAAGTTTGCGGAAGGCGTGGAGGACGGCGTGGAGGTCAGCCCTCTAGTCAGCTACGTAAGTGTTGCCTATGCTGTTTTTGACTCTTTCTTCTCTTACGCTATTCCAACATATTTTTGGATTACTTGATACTGACTTCTGTTTTCTTTTTCTTAGTGCGGCGAAGGCCTCCAAAGTTACGCCGACAGGAAGGTGGTAGCGGTTGACCGCATTGAATAGGGTTTTCGATAGCTCCGCGAATCCTGTTCATTCACACTCCCGCCTCCCGCTCTTGACTTTCCCTAGCATTATGAATATCTATATGGACCTGGTTCCTTGGCCTCGCTCCACCCATATACTTCCCATGCGGTTGTCCACCAAAACGTACATGTTCCCGTTGTCATCTGGCCCTATTCATTTGTTTCTTTTACCCTTGTCTACCAATACGAACATTCTCCTGGCCCGTCGACTACCCGTGTATGCTGAAGACAGGACATATGGGACCTTTTCCATACATGGCTGATCAGCAAGGAAATGAATGGGCCTTTCTGCCATGAGCGTGCCGTATCGGTCACCATTGGTCATCATCAAACTTTGTATGTGTGGCGATTGGGAGGCGAAGCGATTAGGCAAGGTCTACAAAACTAGCTTTGGTGCTTTCTACTTGGCGTATCTGTCGGGTACTAGTTTATATAGGACGGCGAGCGTAGCGAGCGAGCTTTGCTGTTTGAACTACTTCAACTTGTATCCAACTTACTTGCGAGACTATTATCGTGATAATTTGGCCCCTCCGTCTGGGTCTAAAGATGCTCTCGCCGTACAAAGTTGATGCGTTCTATAGAATCATGGGTATCATTTCGTTTCTCTCTCTCTCTCTCTTTTCCTTGTCTCTCTTTCTTCAACTTCTGCCTTTCTCACATCAGATCTTCTGCTGACAACATTCCAAACCATCACATGCAGTCCCTACTTATACTCTCTCCTGTCCTTCACCTCCCTTTCTTCATACCATCCACTTCATTCCCCTAGCTAGAACTAGTCCTTGCAAGTCCTCGCCCTCTCTTCTGCCTCCTCCTCCTTCTCCCTCCTCTTATCCTCCTCTTCCAACGTCATCGTCCTCAACTGCAACGCATGGATCCCGCCCTCCTTGGCCATCTCGTCCTTGAGCAACCCGTAAACCAATCTATGGCGCGCCGGCTGCATTTTTCCCTTGAAGGCGTCCGATGAGATCACGACTCGGAAATGCGTCTCGCGGGACGTGACGCCGCGCATGGCGGAGTGATGGGCGTGCAGGTGCGAGTCGTTGTGGATTTGGAGGGTGCGGGGGGCTAGGTGGGTTGTTATCTGGGAGGGGGGGAGGAGGAGGTGTTAGTGTTTGGTTGGAAGAGGAAAAAGGAGATATGGAGAGGGGGGAGGGCGCAAATGGGACGAACCTTTTCACGAATCGCATCCTCCATTGGGGTAGTGGAAGAAGGGGATTCGGACGTCACGGTCGACGAAGCCATGATGCTGGTGGTGGTGGAGAGTGATCGGAAGACGCCGGTCAACGAGGTGACGGAGCTGGTGGGAATGGCGCTTCTGGCGAGGCCGAAGACGGTGCGGCGCAACATAGAAGTAGATCCCGAAGTGGTATCGGCCGGGAAACTGCGGAACTCGGAGGTTTTATTTGGGTCGCGGAGCTATGCGCTTTTGGTGCAGTTGGTGGAGAGGCTCGTGTCGCTTTTGTTGAGAGGAGGATTTGGCTTGTTGGTACGCACACAGTCGTGCAAGTAGGACAGTGGTGTTGAATGATGATGGTCAGGATCAACCAAAGCTTAGTTCAAAGTGAGTTGAAGTTGTTCGTCGTGGTGGTGGAGGGGCAGAAGAGAGCTTTCGTTGCTTCCGTTCGATGGAAGGTTGGACGACGGAAGCCAATGGGATTCCGCGGGGACTTCTCATTGTTTACACCCCCTGTAAAAATGCCCCACGATCTTTCGGCTGCAGGGGTGTACATCAACTGGGGTGGGACAGGAAGCCGCTGAAGGAGCGCCATCTTTTTACCGTATTGCCGAAGCTGGAGTTCCTGGTCGAGAGAGTGGACGGGAGTTCCCCAACCACCAGTTGCACGCGAGGATAAGTACCTAGGTACTTGGAGCAGCATGAGAAGGCATGTTCCGCCCTACAACTATTTCTAGCATACACTATCTCTAGCATAGAGTGTGCCTTTTCCTCATGGTTATGTTTGTTGACATACGAGGTGATATGACTGTTGGTGTTGCCGGTGTAGCAATGAGAACGTCAAAAAGTCTCAGAGGTGGCCCGACTCGGCATCCCGTGCCATGGTTTTGGGTCATGACGCCCAATCCTTGTTTGTATTTCCGTCCACCATTCCCACCGGGCCGGGGCTAGGTACCTCTAGATCAGCACGATCACCGCACTTCAGAAGCACCTTGTGAACTCAACATCAGGTTGGTGTAAGTACCTATTCTAAACCGTGTTCCGTTAGACACGCGTACCGCCTTTCGTCCCAGTCCCCAGCGAGTTCATCGCAATATAAAGTAGCCAAGGTTGTACCCACGCCCACCCTCCGTGGCCCTCCTCCTTCTTCTTTCCAAATGAACCTACCCTATATAACCCTTGGCACCAGGCGACTTGGTTCCCGGTTGCTTAACAAGACTTCTGTCGCCCTTGCTTCCCCCCGATACCTCAACTGCAGATCGGTCACCGGTGCCGTAAGAATGGCCTCCACACTTCCCAAGCTGCCCGTCTTCGAGGCCATCTCTCGCCATGACCCCGAGTCTACCGTCGTCGTTCACTCAAACAGTGGGAGGACATTCAAGTATGGCGAGCTCCTAGGGGATGTTTGGAAGACTCGGAACAGGCTATATGAAACCGCTGGCAAGGAAGATCTCGACGGCGAACGCATTGCTTTCTTGGTAGAAAACAGCTACGACTATGTAGGTAAGCCGGTCATCTATCTCCATCCAGCCATTGACCTCGAATGGTGAGAGATACTGACTTGTAATTCCGTATTCAGTAACTCTACTCGCATGTCTGGCTGCCAAGTCTATTGCCGTACCCTTGTCTCCTGCTTTCCCAGCTCCGGAACTCCAGTACATCCTGAACCATAGCGAAGCCCTGCTGCTTCTCTCGTCTGCCAAGTTTACCAATAAGGCACAGGAAGTGCTAAAGACGGAATTGGACTCTGAGCCAACTCTCCTAGAGCTTACCAAGTTCCAAGGAGGAAGCCAGCATGAGCAGGTCACTCTGGACTCCAAGTCCGGACCGGGAGAAGCGGGCATGATGCTCTACACCTCCGGAACCACGAACCGGCCTGTAGGAAACCTCTCAAATCCCTATTTTCAACACCAAGAAGTTGGCAACTGACACTCGATACAGAAAGGCGTACTGATTCCCCAATCCGTCATGACGGCCCAAGCCCGTTCCCTCATCCACGCCTGGGAATACACCCCCGCCGACCACCTCCTCCACGTGCTACCGCTGCACCACATCCACGGCACCATCAACGCCATTTTCACCCCTCTCTTCGCAGGCAGCTCCATTGAGTTCATGTTCCCTTTCAACCCCGACGCCGTCTGGAAGCGTTTTGCCGCTCCCTTCCTCCCCGACACCTCGGACAAGAAGAAGATCACCTTCTTCACCGTCGTCCCCACCGTCTACTCCCGCCTCCTAACCACCCACAAGAACCTCCCCGACGACCTCCAAACTGCCACTCGCAAGGCCATTGCTCCCAGCAATCTTCGCCTCGCCATCTCCGGCTCCGCCGCCCTCCCTACCCCGATCAAGAAGGCCTGGCACGAGCTTTCCTCCGGCAACGTCCTCCTTGAGCGCTACGGTATGACCGAAGTAGGCATGGCCCTGTCATGCGGCCTCGAAACCGCCGACCGCGTGGACGGTTCAGTCGGCTGGCCTCTTCCCGGCGTCGAAGCCCGCCTGGTCGATATCGAAAACAACACCATTATTGAGCCCGGTCAGGAACGGGATCCTGAGACGGGCCGTGAGCGGGCCGGTGAGATTCAGTTGCGCGGACCCAGTATTTTCAGGGAATACTGGCGCAACCCCGAAGCGACGGCAAAGGAGTTCGTCACAGACGAAAAGGACGTTGCGGGCAGTAAGGGGCGTTGGTTCAAGACGGGCGACGTAGCCGTCAGGAGGCCGGCGCCCGAGGGCGCAGGCAAGAGCGACCTCAAGAGCCAGAAGGACTGGGCGAGGGGGGACATGTACTTTATCCTCGGCCGTAAGAGCGCGGATATCATCAAGAGCGGCGGCGAAAAGGTGTCGGCGCTGGAGGTGGAGAGGGAGATGCTCAGCCTGCCTCAGGTGGCCGAGTGCGCGGTTCTAGCGGTTCCCAGTGGGAAGTGGGGACAGAAGGTTGGCGCGGTGGTGATTTTGGATAAGGAGCATGTGCCCGAGGGTAAGTGGACCCCGTTGGAGATGAGGAGGGCGTTGAAGGATCGGTTGGCGGCATATAAGATCCCCCAGGTGCTGAAGATTGTGGATAAGATCCCGCGGAACGCGATGGGGAAGATTAACAAGAAGAATCTGGTCAAGGAGGTGTTTGCGGATGAGTTTAGTGGGGATGAACTCTGAGTACAAATATAAAGAAGGTAAAAGAAGGAAAGAATCACCTTTGTTGAAGAAGACGGGAGTCGATCCCCGTGTACTACAGTCACGGAATAGCAAGCCAGGAGATGGATAGTCACTTTGTTCGACCAGGGTCATCTATAGAAACGTTCGGTATATAGATGGTAGTAGAAATGCATTAGAGGCCTTGTTTTACATCATGCTGTTCCTTTGGTCTCTCAATGGAACTCTTCGACGTCACGTTAGCTCTCGTCATATTGGGGTGTTTACTCTACCGATGTGAACAACTCCAGAGAACTGAAAAGGAGAACCTCGATGGTCGGTTTGCCCAGACTTTCCCAAAGTACTCAAGTACCTCTCTTATCTGTACCAATCACATAGCTCCATAAAGCTTATCTAACTTCCATTCCCTATCCCTGCACAGAAAAAGTCCGACCCCACACAGCCAAACTTTTGAGGAACTCCAGATTTTTGGCGATCGCGAACAGACAACAACAGGAAGGACTGAAATATCCAATTCCTCATCGGCGCATCCATCCCCCCACGTCCCTCCTTTAGCCTCCGCCCTCTACATAACCAATTGGAGCTGTATCCTTCCGATCCGGTATTACGACACCGCCGTGATCGTCTTTCTGCAAAACGCTCCGCGACCGACCGACCGAAAAGTGTTCTTCCTGGAAGGAAACCCATCCATCGAACCCAATTCGCGACACCCCAAAATCGACGGCCAACGCGCCACCTTCATCAAAGTTGATCCATCTCACTCGCCCTCCGCAACGACACCTAACACATCCAACAATGTCCACATCCACACCCAAATACGGCGAACGCCTTTTAAAATCCCAAGGCTGGCGCGGCAAAGGCTATTCCCTGCACCCCACAGACAACACCATCGGTCTGTCCAACCCTTTGCGTATCTCGCGCAACACCGACGGCCGCGGCATCGGCCAATCGACGCACTACACGTCGGACCAATGGTGGCTAGCGGCCTTTGACGAGAAGCTTAAAGGGCTGGACACCTCCAAGGATGGGAAAGTGGTGCAGACGACGACTCAATCAAAGCTGGATGCTGTCACGGCGAATATTGGTGGGGGCAAGTACACGGGGGCGGGGGGACTTTATGCGAGTTTTGTGAGGGGGGAGGGACTTGCTGGGACTGTTGAGTCGGAAAGTGGGAGGAGTACGCCGACTGATAGGGAGGATGTGGCTGGACTCAAAGGTGGAGTGAAGAAGAGGGAGAGTAGTAATAAGAAGAAGGCGGAGAAGGAGGAAAAGAAGAGGAGGAAGGCGATGGAGAAATTGAAAAAGAAAGAGGAGAAGAAGGCGGCGAAAAAGGCGGCAAAGAAGGAGGAGAAGAGGAAGAGGAATGCGACAGAGACGAAGGAGGAGAGGAAAGCGAGGAAGAAGGAGAGGAGAGCGAAGAAGGAGGAGAAAAGGAGGAAGAGGACGTCGGAGAAGGAGAAGGAGAAGAAGGGTTGAAGATGTGATGGATGATGGAGAGGTCGAAAAGTTGTTAGAATGAAGATACCCCCCCCCCCTTGTTGAGAAAGGAAATCAAGCTCACCAATGTCCTTTCCGATACACCAGGCTGCTACTTGACGAGTGTGTACGGCCAGATGTGATATATTGGAAAGGATGATGTGTGGCTCGAGTCGCTTACTCCGTCGTCGGTTTCTATGCTGGTCTTTCATGGAACAGGACAGATCTGGACGATTCGCGAGAGGAGCTGGATTGATAGAAAAGGAATGATGAAACTACCATCATCAATTTGGGGTATTTTTACTCAAGACATGGAAGGGTTTGGAGAGTGACTCGACGTCGACTTTCAGGCGAACTGATGAGGCGCAAATTATTCACAGTAAGTGAGGAGTGCGTGATGGGTGCACGGCTCGACTCCAACCTCACGTTCGTCTCTGTTTACTTCAAACTTTGCTTTTGTACCTGTTCTCCGGAGGCCCATTCGTGCCATGACCAAGCAGGCCGGGGCTTTGAGACCACAACCAACACCAACGAAAAAAGAAATGCGTTCGAAACTCAATGACGATGAAAGATAAAAACGCAGAGAACGTTTCTATTGTACTTTGGACTACAGCTGAAGGTGTGAAAAACGACAAAAAGCTCAGTCACCCAGGAGTCTTTGGGGGAACGAACCACCATGCTCCAGCTGCGACCTACGAAAACTGTACCACGGGTACCGCGCACACCGGCAATGTTTTCATGATCGGAACCGCTCGGCCATTTGGCCAATTGGTACCACTCTGGAATTAAGGTCCGGTGGCGGACCTTATATGGTGCATAGGGGGATGGGCGGAGGGGCGGATGGGATGAAAGGCGATCCGGGCCGGTACATAAGATACAGTGGAGGCACGGAGTTGTCTCCTGAAGTCTTAACTGAGGAGGTACTCAACGGTTCTGGTCCTGACGAGTAGAGGTGAAACCGAAAAGTCCATGCCGGTTTGAAATCAACGCCGTCCCCGCCCCTTTGTATAGTATGGTGTTTCTCGTTCAGGTCGGTAAAGAATCACACCTCGGAGGTTTGTCGTGACAAAAGCATGTGTTCCAAGAAATTCCACCGCATCACGATAGAAGCAAAGTCCCTTTGAACTACTAAAAATCGTCGAGCTCTATGGTTGTATCCAGAGGTATCATAATCATATCTCATCCTTCCATTCTTCATCCACTCACTCCATCAAGGCTCCTTGGGAACCTTCCCCGGCTTCCCGCTCAACAACCACGGCCTCCTCTCCCAAAACTCATCCCTGATGATATCCAAATGTTCCACCACAATCTTGGCCTTTGTCCTCGCCTTTTTGTCTTTTTCCACCTGACTCTTCGACTTGACCTCCGGTACGGCGCTGCTCATCTCCTCTGCTTCCTCACCAACTCTTTTCGTCCCTGGCTCCACCAGCTCGTAATTCCTAAAAATCACACTTCCCTTCTTAAACATCTCCGGCTCGTTATTATAGTTAATCCCAAACTTCTTGAACAAAATCTCGTTCTTGTCTGCCGAGAACGTCCCCTTGAGCATCAACTCGGCTGCCGTCCCGTCCATGCCTCCCTGGTTAATGAGGGCCCAGAACGTGGTGTTGTACAGGTTGTTGATGTGGCAGTCGACCTGGCGCCAGCTCATGTAGTCACGCAGGTTCTGGACGGACGGGTAGCAGACGGCGCGGCCGTCGAAGGAAGGGAGGGGTGGGGATAAGGGGGGCCCATCGACAAAATAGGTGGGCCAGTGGTGGATGTAGTAGGCTGTGAAGGTCGAGACGATGGTAGAGACTAGTTTGCTGGCGCGTCGCTCGAATAAAGTGCAGGATTTGTGAAAGACGAAACTGTACTCGTCCGACACGCCGTAGGCGATGGTGATGTCGGGGAGCTCGGACATGACGGAGCGCGCGGCGGCGTTCATGAGGTCCAGGGCTCGTTTATCGTTGGGCTTTTCAAAGGCATATTTGGTGGAGAATCTGGGTTGTTGTTGTTGTTTTTGTTAGGGCCTGGGAATATTATGTCTTTCAGGAAAGAACTAGAGACATACTTTGTAAAGCCACGACCATCGAGCCTTACTACTATCCAGGTGTTTGGAAGAAGCGAGTCAGGTTGCTCGAACTGCTTGACGTACTCAAACTTGGAGTTCGCCATTGTTGGGGGGTATATAGTCTTGTTCTATTCTATTCCAGACCGTGGTTGTCAGTGGGTGCTTCCAGTAGTCTTTTTTTTTCATGAGAATAGGAACATACTGGAACAAGAATAGAAGTGAATAAAACGGAATGTTGAGTTAGCAAAACTTAGCAATGGCTATAAAATGTTGTATAAGTGAGATGTCTCGCTTACGATGAACCGAATCTGAGTCTTCACAAGATCGATACCCCACACGACTTGACCCTGTCGACGGTCATTTTAGCGCTTGACGGTTGTGCCCACCCATTAAAATCCCGGCCGATCCACCACTGTCCTTTTTCACTGCGCCGGCAGGCGGGATTGCTTCCCCCCCCCCTGACGCACATTCCGTTGGGCTGGGCCGTGCATGCGCCCTGGAACGGGAACCCCACACACTGACAGCCTAGAGGTGAAGCTCCAGGTGGGGGGCGGCCGCGAGTCCGTGAATGGAAATTCAAAGCGCGACTGGAAGTTGTCCACCAACATCTCAACCTCAGTATCACCTACTTACACACATTTTCTCCCCGCGACCGTGGCTCAATTCTTTACGCACGACTGCGGAAGACAAATCGACAAGAGTGCCTCCAACTTCTCGGTATCACGACCATGAATTTACTACTGGCGGAAGATTATCTTCTCCAAGATTACCCCGAACACATCACCAACACAATTCGATCCGGCCACTCTACATGCGTGCGCTTCAACCGGACGGGCGATTTCCTCGCCTCGGGGAGAGTAGATGGCACTGTTGTAATTTGGGATCTTGAGACCATGGGGGTTGCACGGAAGCTTCGAGGACACTCTAAGAACATCACCTCGCTAAGTTGGTCACGGTGTGGTCGGTACTTGCTGTCTGCGTGTCAAGGCTGGAAGGCAATCCTCTGGGATCTACAAGATGGGAGCAAATATTGTGAAGTGCGATTCCGAGCACCCGTTTATGGGGCGGAGTTACACCCCATGCATCAGTATGTTATTCGTCGTGAGCTCGATAATTCCACTGCACTGTAACAGGGATTGATCTAATCATTGCAATAGTCACCAGTTTGCTGCCGCGTTATTCGAAGAACAGCCGATGCTCGTCGACGTTAAAGAGTCCGCCCAAGGCGCCAACCCCGTCGAAGTACGACATATCCTTCCTTCGGTCGAGAAACGATCCGACGACGGTGCCGACACCCCGACCAAGGAGAAGCACGCCAAAGAAGATGCGAGGCACATGACGACAGCCATTGTATACACCGCGACAGGTGAACATCTCCTCGCCGGCACGACCAAAGGCCGACTTAATATCATCGATGCGACGACACACAAAATCATCTACTCGGAAAAGATTGCCGGCGGTGTAATAACTACATTACGGCTTACAGAATCAGGCAAGGAGTTGTTGGTGAATGCTCAAGATAGAACAATCAGGACATTCAAGGTGCCAGATCTGACATCGGCAGACCTGGACCCCGACACGATCCAGATTCCGCTCGAGCACAAGTTTCAGGACTTAGTTAACCGTTTATCCTGGAACCACGCTGCGTTCAGTTCGACCGGAGAGTACGTCGCAGCTTCGACGTTTAATAACCACGAGCTATACATCTGGGAGCGCGGCCATGGCAGTTTGGTGCGCATGCTGGAGGGTCCGAAGGAGGAACAGGGTGTTATAGAATGGCATCCCCACAAGCCCTTGCTGGCAGCGTGTGGTCTCGAAACAGGGAGGATCAACATCTGGTCGGTCACAAGTCCACAACGATGGTCGGCCCTGGCGCCGGATTTCGTCGAGGTTGAGGAAAACGTCGAGTACATCGAGAAGGAGGACGAATTCGATATACACCCGCATGAGGAAATCCAGAAGCGACGGCTGGACGCCGAGGACGAAGACGTCGACGTGTTGGGGGGCGGCGGCGCTGGCGGCGGCGACGTGGCACCATTCAGGATGCCGGTGCTTTTCAACCTCGGGGAGTCGGATAGCGAAGAAGAGTTTGTGAACGTGGGATTGGGGACGCTCAGGCGTAAGAGCCCTGACGATCAAGACGACGGTGCACCCGCAAGTGAGGGGAGACCGCCTGCCAAGAAGACGGTCACGCAAAGGACTCGGACAAGGAAGAGGTGAGAAGACATGGAACACGATGCAATGAAACAAAGACAAAGATACCCATGGATTTCAGTAGTGTAAGAGGGTTTGATGGACTTTGGTAGCATGTAGCGACACCAGCAATTTGAAACGTACATTTTTTCGGAGAGATAATAAAGATAAGTAGAATAACAAGCTAATAGACTTGTTCTTGTGTGTCCAGTGTATTAACAAAATTCACGATCCACATTGGGGCTTTTTGTGTGATTCCTCGATGTTCACTCTCATCAGATACTATGACGCAATTGTAGGAACAAGCGGTTGACATGGCAGTTCCAAGTTGGGCGACAGGAGCAACAATGGCATCCATAATACACTATTTAACCGAATGGGTCGCGGCATGGTGGGGATTGGTTTGGATCTCCTCGTCCCGTCCAGGTCGCTGTCGTCCATTGCCGGCCGGCTGTTGACGTTGACTGCAACCGTGACAGCAACAGCCAGGCGGGCGGGCGGGCGGGGCATCCATCTTGGAGGAAGAAAAAGATCGGACAAAATGCCAGGCACCAAGCGGCGTGGTCACGGACCCACAACCAGTCGGTTCCTCTGTAGTTGTAGGACAAGGAAATGGATGGAAAGCTGGAGCGGGTGATGCTGGGCTGAGATGATGGAGGGCAACCTGGAATTGGAACGGATCAATGATGCGGTTGCGGTCGTTGTCAGGTCCGAGCGAGCAACGGGGCGTTTCCAGTCTCCAGTTCGGGTTTCCAGACTTCAGGCAGTTTGGCCCCCGCGCCTTGAGTCACTGGCCGGGGAGGCCTGGAATGGATGGTAGGGTAGTACAATCAAGATACCTGTTCGAAACAGCAATCAACAGCCATTCACCAAGCTCTCAGGCAAACCTCACCTGCACTGTTCAAGTAAATGTACCGCCAAGTACCCGTCAACACCCTTCACCCTGCCCCAGCCGCTGCTCGGAGCCTTTTGGTGCTTTGTCACCCAGTGCCACAAGTGGATCCCCTACTGCATTAGGGCTAGTGCCTTCTCGCCTCTTGTCCCGCGTCGGTTTCTGGCTGGGCGGCGGACGAGGGCGGTAGAACTTTTCAACCAGCGTGGAGGAGGTCTGCCACCTTCCTTCCTGCTCCATACCCCAAACAACACCGCACCCCTTCCAAAATTCCCGATCTGAGCAAAGCGCGTCCACATCGCCGGATTCTGCTTGCTGGTCGTCCACAACCACCACGATTCCGACGACTTTTTAATCGACCGTGCCGCCCGCGGTCATTCGCGTAATCAACCGGTCCCTTTTCTTTTTCCATCGCACGCGATACTGGCGGGGCCGACAGCGTGCTCGGCGGACTAGTTAGCTCCTTTCGGGGGCCCGTTGGCCTGGACAACGCAGTGGAGGACAACCAAGGGACTTTCGATTCCATCACCAAACTCCATCACGCCACCTCGAGCCGACTGTGTGCATCGAGGCCTCTCGCTTTCCGTCTTTTAGAGAATACTAATATCCTTTTTTTTGTCCGTCTTATTCGCTTTCGCCCCCGGGTTTGCGCGCGGCGCCCGAGACAGCCACGACAACTGTGTGATTGACGGTCGCTCGTCTCACCGTCATTTGACAAACCCTTCATCTTTTGGACAACGAGAACCGAATTTTCCCCACAAGGACTGTAGAGCGTCGAACAGTTTCCCAAGATGGCGAACCTATACTTTGCGCACTCGAGTGCGCCCTTGCGGACCATCAAGGAAATCCAGTTTGGTCTGCTGTCGCCCGAGGAGATCAAGGGCATGAGTGTGGCCCACATCGTCTACCCAGAGACCATGGACGAGACCAGGACAAAACCCCGCGACGGCGGTCTCAACGACCCTCTCCTGGGCTCCGTAGATCGTCAGTTCAAGTGCAAGACGTGCGGCGAGAACATGTCCGAGTGCCCCGGCCATTTCGGTCACATCGAGCTGGCCCGACCCGTCTACCATCCGGGCTTCATCAAGCGGGTGAAGAAGATGTTGGAGATTGTCTGCCACAACTGCAGCAAGGTTCTTGCTGACAGAGTTCGTGCAACCTATCCTTCAGGGTAGTCTTGATTTGCGGACGCTAACCTCTCTTCTGTAGAATGACAAAGAGTTCGCGGCCGCCATGAGGATCCGCGATCCCAAGGTCCGCTTCAACCGAGTATGGGCTGTGTGCAAGAAAAAGAGGAGATGTGAAAACGAGGTAGTCAAGAAGAGCGACGATGACGAATTCAACCCTCTTGCCGATGCCAAGGGCGAGCTCCCCGGCCACGGCGGCTGCGGCAACGATCACCCCACCGTCCGCCAGCAGGCCCTCACCCTCTATGCCCAGTTCGATACCAAGGACGAGGAGGGCGTCAAGAGCAAGGAGAAGAAGATCATCACCCCCGACATGGCACTCAACATTTTGCACAACATGACCGAGTCTGACATGATCGACATCGGCATCAACATCTCTCAAGCTCGGCCTGAATGGATGATCATCACTGTTCTGCCTGTTCCGCCCCCTCCAGTCCGCCCCAGTATTTCCATGGACGGTACCGGCACCGGTATGCGAAACGAAGATGATTTGACCTACAAGCTCGGCGATATCATTCGAGCAAACGGCAACGTTCGCCAGGCTATCCAGGAGGGTTCTCCGGCTCACATTATCAACGATTTCGAGAACCTCCTCCAGTACCACGTTGCCACCTACATGGACAACGATATTGCTGGTCAACCACAAGCTCTGCAAAAGAGCGGTCGTCCTGTCAAGGCCATTCGCGCCCGTCTGAAGGGCAAGGAGGGTCGTCTGCGTGGTAACTTGATGGGCAAGCGTGTCGATTTCTCTGCCCGTACTGTCATCACAGGTGATGCCAACATCTCGCTGGATGAAGTCGGTGTGCCCCGTAGCATCGCGCGCACGCTTACATATCCCGAGACTGTGACGCCCTACAATATTGGCAAACTCACCCAATACGTCCAGAACGGCCCTAACGAGCATCCGGGTGCCAAGTATGTTATTCGCTCAGATGGCAGCCGTGTTGATCTACGCCATCAGAGGCGGACAGGTCCGCTACAGCTGGAATATGGCTGGAAGGTTGAGCGCCATCTCATCGACGGTGATTACATCATCTTCAACCGTCAGCCCTCTTTGCACAAGGAATCCATGATGGGTCATCGTGTCAAGGTCATGCCCTACTCGACCTTCAGACTTAACCTTTCCGTCACATCTCCTTACAACGCCGATTTCGACGGTGATGAAATGAACCTTCACGTTCCTCAAACCGAAGAAACTCGTGCTGAAGTCAAGGAGCTTTGCATGGTTCCTCTCAACATCGTCTCGCCGCAGCGTAACGGTCCGCTCATGGGTATCGTGCAGGATACTTTGGCTGGTGCTTACAAGCTTTGTCGTCGTGACGTCTTCCTTACCAAGGAGGAGGTCATGAACATTATGCTCTGGGTCCCCGAGTGGGACGGCATCATTCCTGTCCCTGCAATCCTCAAGCCTCGTCCTCGCTGGACTGGTAAGCAGATCATCAGCATGGTTGTTCCCAAGATCATAAACCTCAAGAACATCGACGAGGATGATGGTGAGTGCCCTCTTAAGGATAAGGGCATTTTGATCCAACAAGGTGAGGTGATTTTCGGCTTGATGACGAAGAAGATTGTGGGTGCCGCTAGTGGCGGTATCGTCCATCTCTGCTACAACGAGCTGGGTCCTAGCGGTGCTATGGATTTCCTCAACGGCTGCCAGAGAGTCGTCAACTACTGGCTCCTTCACAATGGCCACAGCATTGGTATTGGTGACACCATTCCCGACGCTGCGACCATCGCCAAGGTCCAGACGCACATTGACGATGCCAAGGCAGAAGTCAAGCAGCTCACAGATATGGCCACCAACAATCAGCTTGAGCCATTGCCCGGTATGAACATCCGTGAGACCTTCGAAAACAAGGTCTCCAAGGCTCTCAACACGGCCCGTGACAAGGCCGGTACTTCCACTGAGAGCAGTTTGAAGGATATCAACAACGCCGTAACCATGGCTCTGTCTGGTTCCAAGGGTTCTTCCATCAACATCTCTCAGATGACTGCCTTGGTCGGTCAGCAGATTGTCGAAGGCAAGCGTATTCCTTTCGGCTTCAAGTACCGCACACTGCCACATTTCACAAAGGATGATTACTCACCCGAAGCCCGTGGTTTCGTCGAGAACTCGTACCTTCGTGGTCTTACTCCTTCAGAGTTTTTCTTCCACGCCATGGCTGGTAGAGAAGGTTTGATCGATACCGCTGTCAAGACAGCCGAAACTGGTTACATTCAGCGTCGTTTGGTCAAGGCCCTTGAAGATTCGGCTGCGCAGTACGATGGTACTGTTCGCAACTCACTGGGTGATATCATCCAGTTCGTCTACGGTGAAGATGGTCTCGACGGTATTGCCATCGAGAACCAGCCTGTCGACCACTTCACGATATCCAATAAGGCTTTCGACAAGCGTTATCGTCTCGATGTCATGGACGAGGAGGTTTCCTCGAGCGAGCTTGAGGCGCTGGAATACGGAAAGGAGCTTGCCAGTGATCCCACTGTTCAGGAGCTTCTTGACCAGGAATACGAACAGCTTTCGGTCGATCGCCACATGCTTCGTGAGATCCAGCGCACGAAAGGCAACAATGACACGAAGATGCAGCTCCCTCTTAACATCATTCGTATCATTGATACTGCCAAGAAGCTGTTCAAGGTGGATGAGACCGCTCGCAGTGACCTTACCCCCAAGGATGTCATTCCTACAGTTAAGGCCATGCTTGATCGCATGATCGTTGTCAGAGGAGACGATCCTATTTCCAAGGAGGCAGACTACAACGCCACGATCCTGTTCAAGGCCCAGCTTCGGTCTCGCTTGGCGTTCAAGCGTCTTGCTGTCCAAGATAGGATCAACAAGTTGGCCTTCAACCACATTCTCGGCGAGCTCGAGAACCGTTGGTCGAGGTCGATGGTTTCTCCGGGTGAAATGGTCGGTGTGTTGGCTGCCCAGTCTATCGGTGAACCCGCCACCCAGATGACACTCAACACTTTCCATTTCGCCGGTGTGTCCTCCAAGAACGTCACCCTTGGTGTGCCGCGTCTAAAGGAAATTCTTAACGTTGCTTCGAACATCAAGACTCCTTCCATGATGGTCTATCTCGACTCCAAGGCAGCGACCCAGGAGGAGGCCAAGAAGATGCGCAGTGCTGTCGAGCACACGAGTCTTCGCTCCGTTACGGCTGTCACTGAAATCTACTATGATCCCGATATCACATCGACCAACATCCCCGAGGATTACGATTTGGTCGAGTCTTACTTCCTCATTCCCGATCAGAGCGGCGACGAGCCAGATCCGATTGAGAACCAGTCCCGTTGGCTTCTGAGAATCACTCTCGATCGTCAGAAGATGCTCGACAAGGGTCTCCGCGTTGAGGACGTTGCTCACCGCATCAAGGAGGTTTACAAGAAGGATGTTGCAGTTGTCTTCTCCGACAACAACGCTGAAGAGATGGTCATCCGTATCCGTGTTATTAAGGCGGACGATGACAAGGATGAAGATGGTAACAAGATCATCGAGGACGATGTGATGCTCAAGCGTCTTGAGAAGCATCTCCTGGACGGCTGCACACTTCGTGGTGTCGAAGGCATTGAGCGTGCCTTCTTGAACAAGGGTGTTAAGCTGATCGAGGCCAAGGATGGTTCCATGAAGCACTCCAAGGTGGACGATGAGTGCCAAGAGTGGTACCTTGATACGCAAGGTACCTCTCTTCGTGAGGTCTTGACTGTCGAGGGTGTTGATACCAAGCGCACCACTACCAACGACTTGTGGCAGGTTGTCGATGTCTTCGGTATCGAGGGAGCTCGCGCTGCTCTGATGCACGAGTTGACGGCTGTGTTGGCTTTCGACGGTTCGTACGTTAACCATCGTCACTTGGCGCTTCTTTGCGATGTGATGACATACAGGGGCAGTATCGCCGCCGTCACACGTCACGGTATCAACCGCGCTGATACTGGTGCGCTCATGCGTTGCTCTTTCGAGGAGACTGTCGAAATTCTCCTGGAAGCTGCCGCCGTTGGTGAGCTTGATGACTGCCGTGGTATTTCCGAGAACGTTATGTTAGGCCAGATGGCTCCCATGGGTACCGGCGCCTTTGACGTTTTCCTCGATCCCAAGATGTTGGAGACCGTCATCTCTGACAACTCTCGCATGGGTCTCATGCCGGGCATGACCGTGAAGGGCAGTCAGCTGGATGGCGCGGCTACGCCTTATGATACAGGCTCCCCGATGGCCGACAGTGGGTTCCTTGGAAGTTATTCGCCTACTATGGGCAACTTCTCTCCTATCCAGGGCGCTGGATCGGACAGCCCGACGAACAATGGCTTCGGCACCGACTACGGTGGCGTTGGCGGATACGGTTCTGGTACTTCCTACTCTTCGGCTACCAGCCCTCGTGCCACCAGCCCCTTCACACCCACGTCACCGTTCAGCTATGGCGGGTACTCGCCATCGTCGCCCGCGGCTGGCTACTCGCCCAGCTCACCTCTCCTCGACTCTTCTGGTCGTTTCGCTTCCAGCCCACAATTCAGTCCCTCGTCGCCGTCGTTCTCGCCAACTTCGCCGATGCTGCGCCCTGGAAGCCCGACCAGCCCGAGCTACAGCCCTACCTCCCCGAGTTACTCGCCGGCATCGCCAGCTGCCGCCAGGTACTCGCCCACCTCCCCCGCCCAACAATTCTCTCCGACGTCACCTTCATACTCCCCCACGAGTCCGAGCTACAGCCCGGCCTCGCCCGCTTTCCAGGCTACCTCGCCAAGCTACTCTCCGGCGTCGCCTACCTGGTCGCCAACCTCGCCGGACGCTTACTCGCCCACGAGCCCGTCGTTCCAGCGGTCCCCTGGTCAGCAGCTGTCCCCTACTAGCCCAACGGGTTACTCGCCGACGTCGCCGCAGTACTCGCCGCGGACGCCGGGACGTAATAACTCGGGGGGCAACGGGGATCAATAGTAAGTTGTGGATTAGTCTGTTGCTTGGGGTAAGACAGCTTTGCTAACAGAAATCCTCAGTTCTCCCACTTCGCCATCGAATGATTGATCATCTTAAGAAGTCGTTCTGATCGAGTGGAATTGGGTTGAGTCGGCAGACAAAGCGTCAATGCCTCATGAAGGGGAGAAAAGGAAGGGATATCGAAACAAATTGCCACTACAACACCGTATATAACAAAAAAGGAAGGGTGGCTTGGCAGTAGCTAAATGAGCGCGAGCGGGGAGTTGCTTTTTTATCACATTGTTCGTCCTGTTGTCACCACACATCAAACTGCATTTTCCTTTCTTCTTGGGCCGCCGTCATCTGCTTCTTCGTTTCTACTAGAGTTGGAGATAAACTAGCTGAAGCACCTTTTTACGTACGTACAAAGAAGAAACACAGCAGAAAGCAGAGCGAATCAGTCAAAGTTGGGAAAGACAAAATATCATTATCATATCAGCATTTCATATTTCTTGTTCGTTCATGTCTGTTACTGGTGATGGGTGGCCTTGCTCACATTTCGCTTCTCATAAGGAACAAAGATTGATCTGCTTTTCCTTGCTCAAAGGGGTTCTTTACTGTTGGTTCATACTAGGCAGGCGAATAGGGGAACAGCGCCTCTTCACTTTTTGGTAGCCATCAGATTGCGCGATAGCATTGGCGATGGATGGGTGGTTAGAGAACGAGTAATTTCGCACGAAATAGTAACAACCGATACCTCCAGTGAAATATTTGACTTTAACTGAATAGAAAACTGATCACATATCATTCCAATCTCGCCGTGGCTACCATCGCACATCCATCCTCGCACCTTAAACCTTAGTCTCTATTACATGACCTCCGTCGACAACCTTCAGCAGACCCGCCCCACAGAAGCGTGGGTCTCCTCTCCTCGAACTTGGTGAGAGGACCGCCAACAGATAAATAAAAACCCTCCCTTACCTTTCACTTTCCTATTCTTCTCTCATGTTTCTATGCCGACAGACCTTCAGTTATTATCCTCCTCGGTGCCAATCCACACACAACTGACGCCTAAGACTGAATGAACTTCTCATCCCCACCCAAGATAGCCACCATACAATGTCGCCCACAACTACACCTACCCTTCCAAAGGGCTACGTGCTCCACGCGGGCTATCCTCCCATTTCCTCCTACAGGCATCTTCGGTCCGCCTCGGGGCTAACCCCTCGATCCGTCGCCCAAGCAGCGCCTGTCCCGTCCAATTCCTGGTACGGATGCTACATCATGCACGACGACAACAAGCCCGTAGCAATGGGACGAATCATCGGCGATGGAGGATGGTACTTCCACATCGCCGACATGGCTACCCTCCCAGAGCATCAGCGTAAGGGGCTAGGAGATGTGGTCCTCAAGGAATTACTTGCTTACATTGCTCGCCACGCGCCTTGTGATGAGAAGGAGGGTGAGTACCCTTATATTACGCTTTTTGCGGACGGGCCGGGCAGGAGGTTGTATGAGAAGAACGGGTTCAAGGAGACGGCCCCGCGTTCAACGGGAATGGTACTATCATATGATCGCGGGCTAGTAGTAACACCCGAGGATGAGGGGAGAGCTGCTGCTGAGGATGGGAGGGAGTAAGGGATGGCGGATATGAGGCGACGGATGTTTGACTACCTAGGCACTCACCGGAGTTGTATGGTGGTGTGGTAATGACTGTGAATATAAAATCAGGAATTTCGCATGCTTTTAACTTGCCTTTTACATGTCCATCTTCTTTCGTGATTGTTGTTCCTGAATTTTGAAAAGGGCGAAGTTCTTTCCATGGCTACCTAATCGAGGCTAACGCTTGTGGGTAGGTTGCAGTTCAGCCGTACCGAAGCGGGAAACCCTGATTCGCAACAACCTAAGCGTTGTCTACCAAGCCCCTAGAAGTCAAAATTATAGGGTATTATAACCTTCTATACCTTGGTAGTCTTTAAGGATGTTTTCTAGCCTTTGAAGACTACCTACTAAAGTCAAGGCCTAGTATAGCTGGAAGTCAGAATCGTATTACAAAAAGTTGGTTACGAATACCTCTAGGAATCGAACAAAGGTTACAAGCAAGAATGAAAATGAAGAACTACTTGATCAACCGCTTACTAGCTACTGAGCTAAGTGGTTATTTCTAGAGGAGGAAAGGGCTAGTTCTTTCCGTCGATAAAGGGGACGTTGGATATTGGGGGAAGGTAGATAGGACGTTAAGACTGAGAGAAATTTCGAAATTCGGACCCGACGACCCAGCTCCAAAACCGAGGACACTATATTACAGCGCTTACCCCCCTATAGAAAAGATTCATTGTTTGGCTACGAAATATTGATTGTGGTTATTGTCCGATAACTACAACGCATGTCGGAGGTACCTAGTGATTTGTAAACTTGGCCTGCGTGCCTGGCAACTGAACCCATTTTCTTCTTCTTTGAAACCTCTCTGTTCCTATCTCCTAGGCAGTCTCTGGCCTGGTTTCTTGGTTTCCCGTCTACCGCAAATCAACGCAGAGTTTACTACAGCATCGCTTTTGGGGTGTGGCAGATGGGATCAGGGGAAACGAATGAGACGACAGCCGTCCCACCAACCCATCTTCCTCGTTACGATTTCCTATAAGTCAGCCATCTAGACACATAATGACAAGGAACAATGTTGATGGCCCGATTCAAGCTAGGTATGAATCAAATCAATCATTCTTTCTGCCATTAGTTCACCTCGTCGTCTCAGTGTGATGGCTTATCGTCCTGGTTGATACTATGCTAGAGCCTGCATGACTGGATCATATTACATATGAGGTTCTTAAGCCGAGTTCCTTATCCACGTGTTGGCCATTCTTCTTCAATCCCGGCCATCCATCTGTTTCAACGATAACCAATGGAATGGATAGAGGCACTCATGGGGTGTCCTTGCCTTTGCGGCTGGACGCCTAGATCTGCATCTCTACCTTACGTTGGTTCTTTCTTGATTTGGCTCAGGCCCAACATCTCTGTTCAATGTCCCCGCAACCATTTTTTCGGCCGATAAGTGAAAGCCCGGTATAACTTCCGGTTCAGAGGCTGGTGCTTCACTGATCTGTCAGTGCCCGTTTAGTTCTCCACAAAGCAACCTTACTCGATGGTAGGTATGGATCGTCCCGGTGAAGAGAGAGCCCTAGGCTTGAACCACGGCTGGAAGCACACCTACGAGCCTCACAGCTGCCGCCACTGCAACTGGATTGTCCTGGGTGAAGCTGAGCTCAAAGCAGGTGAGGGCTTAAGAGGGCATCAGCCTCTAGCCTCAGCAACGTCTACCTAGCGGACAGCATCTCCGATGCGTTGCTAGCACGAGATGAAGGGTGCCCTTTATTTGGATATCTCGTTGGTGAGTTGCTGGACTCGGGTCTCTCGCCCGACATATTGGACCTTGATGGCTCCCAGATAGTATACGGATCGCTCACCGTCAGAGGGCTTAAACTGTCTCATAAGTTGGCTGACAATGGCGGTATTCCCCTGTCTAACATCTTGAAGGTGATTCTCCACTCGGGTAAGTGTCTATGAGAGATGATCTGGATCTCCAAGTGTCCTCTGAGGTGTTACTGACAAATCACCAGGAAAGCCAAGTGAATCATTAGATTGCGACCCAGGCTCTCCGGAAGCTTTCCAGCTTTCACGCAACTGGATCTCAACATGCCTCTCTTCCCACCCGCACTGCCGCTTACCATCAAGAAGATCCTCTGGCCCCAACGCATTCACACCGACCCGGCTCCTCCAAGTCAGCGAACACGGTGTAAAACTCGTGGAGTCGTCTAGGGTGGGTGACGAAGCCCAAACATGGTGCGCACTAAGCTACGTCTGGGGCGGCGACCAGCCCGTCAAGACGACCAAGGAAACGCTAGCAGCCCACTACGACGGGATTCCCTTTGACGCGCTTCCCAAAACCATCCAGGACGCCGTGCGCGTGTGTCGCGGCCTGGCCATTCCCTACCTGTGGATCGACGCCCTCTGCATCATCCAGGGTGATGAGCAGGACCTCCGGAGGGAGCTCGGCAAGATGCCCGAGATCTACCAGCATGCTACCGTCACGATCAGTGCAGCGTGGTCGACAAAGGCTGATGACGGGTTCCTTTACCGTCGCGGATACTGGTATCAGTTTTGCCCGCCGATCAAGCTGCAGGTTCTTGCACGTACTTTGGTGAATGTTGGGGAGAACACCACCCTGGGCGATGGTGACGTGGCCAGATCAAGCTGCACTCAGCAGGAGTCCATGTCTGATTCTGGAGTGCAGGAAGAGGAGGAGGAGGAGGAGGAGAAGGAGAAGCGCGCGAAGACGACGATGGAGGGATACGCCTACGAGAAACGGGTCTGGGAAAGCGACCCCATCAATTCGAGAGCGTGGACGTACCAGGAGTACGCCCTCTCCCAGCGGGTGTTGCTCTACCGCAGCACCTTGCTCGAGTGGAGCTGCAGGACGGTTTCCGACTCTTACGGTTTGCTTGAGCCGAGTACTTTGGCAGGCAAAGCCGATCATCATTATCAGCCAGATCTGCAGCTCGATCCCGATCCCGAACCTTTCTTTGCGCTCTCGTCGTCCCATCAGTCATGGTCCGACATCGTAATGGAATACTCCTCCCGTCATCTCTCCTTTGCCTCCGACAAGCTGCGCGCCCTGTCCGCCATCGCCCAGGTATATCATCGAGAAACGGGCAAGGAATATCTAGCCGGATTGTGGAGGGAGGACCTCCCCCTGGCGCTTTGTTGGTTTGCGATGCCGCAGACGAGTTATAATAGTACTACGAATGCAAGTGAGAATGATAACCTCGACAGCGAACCTTCCCCCGAAAAAATCCTCCAAAAACGGCCAACAGGTAATCGAGGCCCCTCCTGGTCTTGGGCGTCCATCGACGATGCCGCGTTTATGTACCCCGCCGCCGATGAGAAGAAGAAAATCCAGATTCTCGGGCCAGCGCCCAGCGTGAAGATTCTTAAAGCCGCGGTCACCCCGGCTTATGCTGGTGGGGAGTTTGACTCTGTTGTTTCTGGGTGTCTTGACATTGAAGGGGCAATGAGAGAAGTGACGGCGCGTCGGGTCAGGTGGAGCAGCAGCCCATCATCGTCAGGCTCTGTATCCGAATCGGGTGAAATGAAGATCCCGGTGGGAGGACAACAAGGACACGAAGTGGTGGTGACACTAGATGCTGCTCCCGAAAGAGAAGACGAGGGAGTCGAGAACGATAGGGATGGCAGAACCGGTTTATGGCTTCTTTTGTTGGCGGAGCAAGTGGAAGAAGAAGAAGAAGAGGAGGAGGAGGAAATGGAGGAGGAAGAGTGGGAGGAAGTGGAGGAGGATGTCGAGGGACAGCATGAGTTGAAGATTGGCAAACCTACCTCGCCAGTGTATGCTGGACTTGTTCTGAAGGAATTAGTCCATGGACAGTCGGACAGGTTTCATCGTATAGGCTTTTTCCATTGCTGTGAGATTTCGGACATGGGGCATACCGGTGATGGGTGTCGGGATCTCTTGAAAGAGTTTGAGATTAGAAGGGTAACACTTGTTTGAGATGTCCAGAAGGTGTACCTTGTCCTGCTGCTAGGATACATTAGTATCCAACAAACAATCCATATATACATACCGTGATCCGACAAGAAACAACATAACCTATTCTTTTCGTCACAAACACTCCTTAACCTGCTGCTTGCTTCCCATTACTACTCCCCGGCACCGGATGACTCGAGCTAGCAGCTGCCTTCTCCGCCTTCTCCGCCGCCTCCCTCATCTTCTTCTCCCTCACAAAATTAACAAAATACTCTGACCTCAAGTCTCTACCACCTGGACCCATATCCTTCCCTTTCCCTTTCACCTTCTTCACTTTGCCCTTATCTTTCACAATACCCCCCGAACTGGCAACATTACTGGACATGACGACTGATGTTGAAGCCGACCCCGAACCCGAGCGCGAACTTGACGGCGCCCCTGCTCCCACCGCTTGCTTCTTCTGCAAAAACCTCTTGCTGCTGCTGGTAATGTGCGCGAGTCGGGAGAGGTTCGAAGAAGTCAAGCTGGATTTCCGCTGACGCTGGAGACGCGGTGGCAAGCTGGGATCGGGGATGCTATCTGCGTTGCTGATTTGGGTTGAGAGGGGGTTAAGGTGGGTTGTAGTCATGCTAGTAGCGGGGCGAAAGGGAGGAGGAAGTACGTTGTCGCTGTTGTTGTTGTTGTTGTTGTTGTTGTTTGTATCGGTGGTAGCCGTGCTGAACAGGACCTTTGAGCTGGTTGCGGAGGAGGGGACTAGACCTAAGGAGGCAGATGGGACAGAGGGGCCGGGGATGCTATCTGCGTTGCTGAGTTGGCTGAGGAGGGGGAGGTCGGTGTTGGCGGGGATTTGGGTGATCAGAGGCCCGGGGCGGGAAGGGCTTAGTGCGGCGGTGAAGTGTGGTGCTGGTGCGGAGGGAGCGGGAGTACCTGGTACGATTTGGGAATTGGGATGGATGTCTTCGCCTTGGCGTGGTGGCTGATGGGTAATGGGATGGCCCAGGGAGCCAGGGTCGACTTTTGCAAATCGACGAGGAGGGGGTGGACTGATAGAAGCCTGTTGCGAGATGATCTTTGCCGATGATGGCGGAGGTGGTGCTGGGCTAGTATCCAGTCGTGGCCTTTCAAAGGCCGCTGATGCCTCTCGTGAAGATGAGCTGACACCGGGTTGTTCTTGTGGTTGAATGACTTTTGTGGTTGGGGAACTAGGGCCTCCTTGCGAATGAGTAGGTGTTTGTGGAAGTACAGGAGGCGGCGAGGGAGGCGGCGAAAGAGATGACGATGAGGACGAAGACGCCGAGCCTATCTCAATAGGCGCAGCGTCTGAACCCGGTATTGGCTCATCTACAAGAGGAGCCTCAAGTTCTAGAGGCCGGTTGGAAAGTCGGCGCGGAACCGAACGATCTATAGTCTGGATAAACGGCCGCAATCTCTTTGTCGGTATTGGTGATGGAGGATGAATGGGGTCCGAAGCAAGTTCGGTCGCGGGGGATCCGACCAGAGCTTGCGTGATTGACTTTGCAACCAACCGCGGCTTTGGTAGATGGCTCGTCGTTGAGGGCAATGGAACAGGCACCTGTAGTTTGCTCGAACCTCCGTTTTCCTCTATGGCAGGCGTGGTAAAGTCAAGTGTTTCGTTAATCGACCGTACCATCTTAGGGTACTTGTCGAGAACATCATTAATGTTTTCTTTGGTCAGGACTCCCTTTTGGTAGTGAGGTCTTGAAACCTGGTCATTGTACAACTCTATAGCAGCCCGGACAGGGACTTTGCCCTCGGCCTCGCGTGTGTACTGCAGGTAATCGTCGCAATAGTAGCGGACAAAGTCGTCGTAGAGAAACTCCATGATGGCACTCCGCTTTCGAAGATCATGGACACACAGAACTGCCCTTACAAAGTCACCGAGACTTGCCTTGTAATCTGGATATGCTACTTTGTATGCAGTGTAAGGAACTTGGGATGGCGGCCCATTCGGCGGGATCTTTTCGTCAGAGCTTGCCAGATGTTGAGCCAACTGTTCCGTTGTCTTCAGTAAATGACTTCCACCGTCGGCTGACCGTTCCTCAGGGTGATGCGGGGAGTCGGCGATATGCTCGAACAACCTGGTTATGGAAGGGCCTTCGGTTTCAGCTCGTGTGAAGGCAGCCGAGGAACGTTCGGGCTCAGCAATCGACCTGTAATCGCTGTATATAGTGGTGATGGATTTCGTGAGCCGGCGGCGCTTTTCCGGCGGTGGCCTGGACGGGGTGGTGTGTCCAACATAACTAGCAGGGATGATCTGTGCGGATGGAGGAGTGTGCTCGGGATGAACAGGCAAGGCTCCTTTGTTGACCGGAGGGAGAACGTCGGTGACAGCCTTGGGGACTTCGAATTCTATTCCGCCCTCGGACGCAACGCTACTGCTTGGAAGGAACTCTGGCGCAAAGGGAACGCGAGCCTTGACCTTGAACACTGGTGGGGACGATGGACGGTGCTCGGGGCGTTTCTGAGACGAAGGTCGTTCCGGTAGCGCTCGACTGGGAAGGTCTGGAGTTACTATGGCCTGTTGAGGAGGGGTCGAGTTGTTTTCTGGCAGCGGTTCCAATCTTGGTGACGTATCCTTTGCTTCGCCATCGTTAACAGGTCGGATGTGATGCTCCGGAGATGGCGACCAAGGGATGGGTGTTCCCTCTTCCGAGCCCGTGCCAGTTGGTTTCGGTGTTGATGGTTCGTCCTGGCCCCCATCTTGTCTGATGAACTCTGTAGACTGTGGCAGCGTTGGGGAGGGGGTTTTGCGTGCGTGTGTAGATGCGATACTGCGGATGTACTGCGTCTTCACCTCTTGCAGGATTTCTGCTGGCACATTGGCAAAACCATCCGAGTCCCATGCATCTTCGCGGTCGAGTAGTTCTTGCTGGTCACAGTGAACTCGAAGACTTCGGCGCGGTATTTTCTGCTTGGAGGCCAAAAAAGCAGGTGACCAGGTAGCAATATTGAGGATCGGCGAGGACATGATGAGGCTGGTGGTATCGTAGCAATAATTTGTTGTTGTTGTTGTATGAGTTCAGGGACGGGGTCGCAGAAGCCGCCAGAAAGCAATTACTAAAAGCCCTTCTTACTATTCTTTCTTTAGGGGCAATATCGTTCCATTTTGAGAATGAGCCAGATCTATCGCAGGGCGTGAAGCCTCCTTCGACGGGGGGATGATGAGGCTGGACGAGAGAACTGGTTGAAGGAGGTTGTTGGTGAAGTTCAGTCGTGTCGTCGCAATCGAAAAGCGCGTCCAGTTCTCCACATCGCCAACTCACGTGGTCGGGTGGCCCAGGGTTGACATGGGTCACCACAAAAAAAAAGCATCAACTCTGAGCTGCGGCTTTGGAGGGAATAGTTTGTACGTTGTAGATTATCTGAATATGTAGGTACGTCATGCACCATCATCCGTTACAAGAACATGTGCAAATACATTGGAGAGGTTCGGGCCCTACAAGATGGAGTGCTGTATCGAGAATTGATGTTGCGCCTACAAACTAATGGCTCATTTAGCCAGCGGATATGCACAGCCGCAGCAATTATCTTGTAACAAAGATGAAGCGCTAGCGCCCCGCCAATGGCCCCACCAGCTGTCACCTGGGGCTCCAGGACAGGGCGACAGGCCCACCCCCGGAATTGCGTGCATTTGCAGTGCAGGGGACGCTAACCTTTAGCTACAGAAAGCCCCCAAATTACGTCACGCTTCGCAGCTCCTACCGTAACATTGATCTACAGGTCCCAAGGAACCGTCCGTCCCTTCCGCATCCTCTCCCTTTTCGCTAATCCATTCCAGGTTTCCCTTTCGTGACAGCATCACTACTTTACCGTACTATACCATCACATTGCTCTCACAGTGAGTTGAACCAAGTGTGGTTTATTGACATGCTCCAGTCTCTGAAAATCATTCAATCTACAGTCATCACTGCAACCATGGATATCACCCCAATGGTGGCATCCGCCGGGCTGCTCCAGACCAGCTTGATCTGGGTTGCCTACGCCGTCGCCGTTGCTCTCGTCTTCTTCGTCGCCGTCATCACCGTCTTCACCTGGCAGACCCCCTACGATCGCTCCAAGCTTGTCACGACCGTTGCCATTGTCAGTCTCACAGCTCTTCTAGCTACAGTCTTTCTCCTTCCCGTCGATATCGCCCTCGTCTCCTCCACCGCGTCCGCATCGAGGGGCACCAAGAAAGACTGGGCGACACCCGAACGCATCCATGGCATCCTCAAGACGCTCAAGATTGTCTACTACTCCCTGTACAGCTTCGATGCGCTTCTCTGCCTCGTCGTAATCCCGTTCGCATACTTCTGGTACGAAGAGCATGACGAGGTCTTGGAGGAGGAGGGAAGAGAGACTTGGAGCACCCGCTTCTGGCAAGCCTTAAAATATACCATTGCCTTCATCATTCTCGTCATCATCCTGTTCCTCGTAGGCTTTTTCGTCCCTACTGCAGCCCAAGACCATGGCCGACATCTTGATCTCGACTACTTCAAGCGTCTGTTGACCAACAACAATGGTGAAAAGGCTCTCAGCTTTGGCCTCGGACTGCTCATGACACTGGGAGTCCTCCTTTACGTGCTCTACACCGGAACCGGTCTCGCCCTCCTTCCAGTCTCCCTTATCAAGAGTGCCCCGGCCATTTCGGCCCCTGAACTTTCCGCCATGACTGCTGCCGAGCTCGAGCACAACCGCGAGCTGCAGCGTCAGATCGAGATGCGCAACGCTGGTCGTATCGTCGCCATGTCTCAGAAGGACAGGCGCGAGCTCGACCTTTTACTCCGTGAGGAACGCACTCTCGTACGCCGCCAACGTCTAGCAGCCGAAGCAAGCGGCGAGGGACAATCCACCATCATGCGCATCTGGACCAAGACCCAGGCTGTTTTCCGTCCGCTCAAGCTCTTTGGCGGTATCCTCCTGCTTTGCCTCTCAGTCATCCTCTGGATCTCGATGCTCATCACCGCCATCGACAAGGCCGCCAACTCCGTCTGCAAATCTCACTGTGGCTACATTCTCGGGCATATCAACGTATTCCAGCCCGTTAACTGGGTCTTTGTCAAGGCCGCCAAGGCGTTCCCCATCGACTACATTCTCATGGCTTTCCTGATCCTTTTCCTCTTTAGCAGCTCCATTACCGGCATTGCGTCCGTGGGCATCCGTTTCCTCTGGGTCAGGATTTTCCAACTCAAAAAGGGCCGTACCGCCCCTCAAGCCCTGCTCATCGCAACTGTCATGCAGGCCCTCATCATCCTAGCCATCAACTATGCCGTCGTCAACCTTCTCGCCCCTCAATACGCCATGTACGGCACGCAGACTTTTTGTCAAGCTCTTTCTCTGGACCCCGGTGCTCCTCCAGACTGCAGAAACCATAGGGACATGATTCGCCCATGCTCCGAGTCTCTTACCGACCCCTTGGCCAAGGACGTATGCACGCCCACCGTCATGTCCACCTTCTTGAACCGCATTGTGCTCAACTGGCCCGTGTTTGGCGCCATCGACTTTTGGGCCCAGTTTGCCTTCTTGACTGTGTTCTTGTTGGTATTCGTTACCAGCTTGATCAGGACTCCCAGATTGAATCTTACGGAGATTGACGAGGAGGCACAGGCGGACGAAGAGGAGGGATTGCTGGCGAGCACCTCCAGGAGGTTCGGCGCTACTTGGCAGGATATCACGGGCAGAGCCAAGAGAACTGTTGGTGGACATCCCAATGGCCAAGGATATGGAACTAGTGGGACAAACGGAACGACTAGTTCTCGTTAGTGAGAGGACTGTGTTGGTGATGGATTGTGGTGGCTCTCTACCTTGATACCCCAGATTGTTGTAAGTGGTAGAGAGGAAAAGTTGGGGATAAGTGTAATTTTGTGTTCATGCTTTCAAGCTTGTCAGTTTAAGTCAAGGGATCGGACGGGATGGAGTTATACGCATGGGCATGACTGTTTCTGTATCTTGTCTTCTCTTCTTGTCATTGCTTTTCCCTATGGTACCAAATCGTTATTATCAAGGCAAAGAAATCCTAAGCGAAACATAAGTACTCTGCTGGCGATGAATTGATCATTATTTGTGTAATATTGTTTTCTAAAATATGGTACCTGGACTGTGGCTTACACCTACACGATGAAGAGTCCAGGTTTTCGCACAAGCAAATACATCTATCTGGCTTGCTTATTCAACATTCATCATCTTATGCACTTCCCATCGCCACCTTTCTCGCGCTCGTCTGAATAGATCGAACACATCACATAACACCCTGGATTTACTATTTCAAGCATCCAGGTGTCTTTCTATGAGACCTCTGCTTGTATACACGTCCTTCTCGCTATCCCAACGTCTCAGAACACCAAGAAATAAATCTGCTGGCCATCCAATCCACCCCACCCCGACCTTTCCAGTCTCCTTCAACCCATCCGTCACCGTCACCGTCACCATCGCCCATCCACTAGTCGTACCGATTCCACTACCAAAACCACTACCACCACCCACCCGCCCCCAAAACTTCCTACTCCCATCCGCCTACATTCCTCCTCCTCCTCCTCCTCCCAACCCAAACACTACATAAGTCATACGCCCATTACTTCTTCTCAGTTATACCACCCACTCTAAACCACCGATGTCCCCCTCTCCTCCCACCCCGCCGCCGGGCCCACATGCATCTCCCTCCAACACCTCACACAGTACCCATCATCCTCACACCCTTCACATCTAATCGTAGCATCCTCCAAACAAACTTTACACCACCTCCTCGCATCCTCGTCGGTATAGCTCTCGTTTCTGCCTACCCATCTTTTGGTACTTTTGGTCTGGTACTTTGCAGAAGCAGGCGGGGGAGGAGGAGGAAAGAGAAAAGAAGAAGAAGAATCATCGGCGGGTAGAATTAAAGTGGTGGTGGGTACGGAGGGAAGGCCGAAGGCGTCGGTTTTGATGGGGGTTGAGCGCAGGTGGGAGAGGCGGGCGGTGAGGGAGGGGATGTCGTCTGTTACTTGTTTGCAGCTGCCGGAGGAGGCAGGGGAGGAGAGAGTGGAGGAGGGGACGGTGGGGAGGGTGAGGGAGGGTTCTTGCTTGGGGGAGGTGGTGGTGAATGTGGGCGTGCGGGTTCCGGACGGAGGGGAGGGGAGAGAGAAGGGGTCGTCGTCGTTGTCATCGTCGGTAGGGCGGCCGCTCAGGTTGATTTCGTCCTGGACTTGGTTGAGGACCCTGTTGGTTTCTTTGGTCATTGCTTCGCCGTCCGAGTCATCATCGTCGTGGTCGTCTGCAAATGAATTGTTGTTTGGCTTGGGAGCGAGTTCCGATAGAAGTTTCTGGACTTTGTGCTCGTCGTTTTCGATTATGCCATCATCGTCGTCGTAGTTGTTGTTGTTAGCAATGGCATGAAGATCAATGTCTTCCTCATCCTCCTCCTCGGCAGGAACATCTTCTTGCAGGTTTAGGTCATCTTGTAGACCTTCCAGAAGCTCATCCAGAGCTTGATCGTCTACTTCTTCTAGACCCCAAGCTGAGGATAGTATCTGCGTTTGGATCTGGGTCTTTGTATCCTCATCCTGAGATGATTCCTGGTTGAGGTTTCGTGAAACTGGCGTTTGTCCTCTTTTGGGAAGAGGCTGGGAACTATCATGGCCTTTCATTCGTGTATCTGGTTCCGGCTTTGGCGAGGCGGTAGAAGCCTGACCACTTCCTCGAGAAGCTGACGACGGCACTGATGTTGAAGATGCATTACGGAGCACCCGCAACCTCTCGGTCAGAGCATCGTCTTTTGAAACCGACGGTGTAGAGCCAATGGCCAAAGAAGGCTTCACTTGTGCGGTGTCATTGGTAGTGGTAGAAGCGGGACTACAAGTCACTCAGCGTTTCAGTATGGTGAATTGTCAGAGGAAGATTCATGTTGGTCAGGCTTTACTTGAGTGGGCCAAGCTTGCTGCTAGTATCAAGCGTGACACTGGTGGACTTGAGGGCGTTGAGTCTGTCCAGAAGTGATTGATCCAAGTCATTGGCCGGGCGATCTGAAGCCATGCCTGCAGCAGATCGGGTAGAGTCAGGGGAAGTGCGGCTGAAGAAGCGGATCGGGTATTTAAGGCTGGGTGTAATTGGATATTGTTGTGATGGTCACGGTCTCCCAGCAGTTGAACTTTTACACTGGTCGGAAGCTGTAACCTCGCGATGCGATAAGGCGTGTCTGCGTTCACCTCAGGCACGTCTGCAGGAGCCTTTCTGCAGGGGCGTCGGGGCCGGGCCGTCAAAGCCAAAGAGGATAATTGAGCGATTGGGAAGGCGAAGAGGACAGATGTGTTCGAAAAATGGATCGGTGTTCCGTCGAAATCCAATCGGGGAAAAAATAGCGGTCCGAGTCAACTGTGTCAAGTCCGGATGCTTTGGCGGGTTGGAGGTCAAGAGGCATGCGGTCGTGAAACCGGGGCGTGACTTTGGGCTGCCGGGGCAAAAGTGGGGCCACCCCGGGGATTGGAATTGGAAACAGCCCTGTTACCATCCATTGCATATGTGTACGCAGTACAAGTTGGGCAGATTTTAAAGCGGATTCGGATATGTACACTAGACCTCGCATTGATTCGAGGCTGAGTGGCAATTTGAGGCATACAAAAGTCCTGTCATAGATAAGATACGACTGTTACCGGGTTGGCTGGTGGTACCGACCGATCACTAACAGCTGCCGACTTGGTCACTTTCTACCATGTACATAACATAAACCAGCTCCAATAATTTTGGCGGGGGCTCCTGATGAGTTGGATGCAGTAAGTTGAAGCTAACGGTCTTACGTGACTCTGGTGTGCGGCGTGCCCAGTGATTGGTGAAGATTGCTGCCCAAGACCAGTGAAAAGGTGACGATGGCACGTTCTCTCTGCAGGGGAAGTGGCCATCTGATATGGCCACCGAGCAGACACGTGCAACTGCACTGCACTGCCTTGCAAGCCAAAAGCTTAACCCGTCGTCTGTCAGCCGACAGCATCACCGACAACATCCCCGGCACCGGACAACTATCCGAGCATATCCATCTTAATCATTAGAGTGTGGCGTGCGGTATGCAAATTCAAGTCACAGAGTGAATGGTCTACTTATATGGCTCCTGGAAGGTTAGGCGTCATGGCTGTGTCTGGGGATGGGATGTCGTTGGGAATTTAGGGTCTCTGGCACCATAGGTCAATTTCACTCAAGTGACGATCCTGACGATCCAGGGCACCGCGGAGTCATACCACAGTAATATGTAAGGCGCTCCAATAAAAAGTAGCTTCTCTATCGGCAGTTGCCGAGTTGCGACTGGTTGGTGGACAATGACTTCATCTGCTGCGCTGCCGGAGCATCCAGCGTAAACTTTGCCCCGGTCTCGTAGGACGGGTGAGGTCACTGAGGTCACCCAGCCAGAAGGGATTTTAATTTGGCCACTCACTGCCCAGTTTCGGGCTCTCAATCGCGAGGTGTCGGGCTTACACCAAAGAGCCAACCATATCGGTTTCCTTTACACAAATCTGCCATTCAGGCTGATGAAAGGCGTCTTTGTCATGTGAGCGGTCGATGTTATGAGCAAGTTAGGTGGCTACTATGCACAGAGCCAACTGAACTTTGCTGGCTTTGGGATGGTGGCACCTTTCCGTCTTTTATAACCAACTGCCTGCTACGTAAAGTGAGGAATGGAAGGGCGGACATACAAACGGCGCAGATGGCGGCTGAAGGTGGATATTTCCAGGGAGCAGCGGCCGCAGCACAGGGTGCTACTAGACCATTGGTGTTAGTGGCTACCTCCCACGGGTGAGTCGATCAGGTATGTCTTGAGGTACTGCCCATCTATCTCTAACGCAGTGGCTTAGAGCCGACGGAGAACGGATCCCCCCCGTCATGTCATCTCCTTCCATCTTTCAACTAAGTAACGCGAGGTAAGTAGCACCATCAAGTTTCCCTTCCCTTCTTGGCGTGACGAAAGTTGGTGCAAGGAAACCTGGCTGCGCCATGGCTTTCCAGCCTTTGGTTTTTTTGGGGAGCGGTCAGCTTTTTGCGGCGACCAAGATCTTTTAGGTTCCCTTTTCCTTACATCAGCCCGCATTCCATTCCCGGACCCTTCATTCACCCTTGCCTCAGCTACATAGATTATCGCCCCTGTTGGTTGCATCCATACTGTACCTGTAGTCATACATTCGGCATTTATACTACTTTTCCATCCTAGTCCCGGCTCCTTGGCTCTGTTTCGCCTCTTGGCCTGTGACCAGGCAGGTCTTAAATCTTTTTCTTCCCCGGATCCTACTCACCTCCGCTTTCTCCACGACCACCTTATATCTTATCAACAACCTTAATCTTCCGATACACATCATACCAACCACAACACAGCATATCATATCATGAAGATCGATCTAGCCATCCTTGTCTCGGCCCTTTGTGCCAATCCGGCACTTGCCCTCGTCGCATCAACATCCGACCTTGCGCGACGTGAACCCGCCGAGCCCTACCAGATCGTCGACCGTGACGTCGACGCTGTTTCGCAGGAACTTTGGAAGCGCAGAGGTGGAGGAGGTGGCGGCGGTCGCGGTGGTGGTGGTGGCGGCAGTTCCGGCGGCGGCAGCAGTGGAGGAGGTTCAACCGGAGGAAGCTCATCCGGCTCAGGGTAAGTCAACACTCTTCACCTCATCGATTTTTTTGTTTTTGCTCTCGATTTTCACCGTCGGTTGTTGGAATTTGTGTGGGAGAGCGTAGGCATTGCGTTCGTCATGCAGGGCGACGCTAATGTTTGTTTGTCTACAGGAGAGGCGGCACTGGAAGCAGCGGAAACAGTGGTTCTGGTTCATCGTATGTGTTTTCATTTTCAAGTCGTGTTCTCTAACTCCCATGATTGTGAAAAGGCGGTCATCGGGAGTATCCCAACCTGGAAGCTCGTCCTACAAAGGTCCTTCTTCGGGAAGCTCTTCCCAGGAAGACTTTCGGTACTACGGGGGCGCCTCCTCTCGCAGGAAACCCAACAACAAACCGAAGCAGAGATCCTCGTATGCATCAGCAGCAAAGTCGCCTTTGAGAGACTTCCTGCTAGATCTCGCGGGCTCTCCAACCCTTTCCAGTCTTTTTCTAAGTTCCGTTCAGTGAAACGTGCATCTTACTAACATAAAGTCTTTCCAACAGAGGCCCCAAGACATCGCCAACTTACAATGGTGGTGGAGCAACCAAATATGGAAGCGGGCCAAAGCCTGCCTACGGTGGTGGCCGCTATTACGGAGGTGGCGCGGTGCAACCATACCAGTCCGGTATGAGGTCGCCATCCGGCATCCGCCCCTTCGCTCTCGGTGCTGGTATAGGACTTCTCGCTGTCTGGCCCGCCGTTTGGCTTTATGGTGCTTACATGTACCCCTACCACAACTTGTACACCTACCACAACCAAACCTCCGACCAGGACGAGACCCGCAACGTCACCTGCGCCTGCGACCCATACAACGTCTGCGGTTGCGACGAGAATACCAATACCACTTATATTGACTCCCTTATCGGAAACGGAAGCTACTCTTCGCTGAACCATTCCTTGATTACCGTCGCCACTGTTGACGGAACCGACTACCTCCTGATCAACGGTACCTTGCCCAATGGTACGACTGCGTCCGGCGGCACGGATGATGATGATGGCACGACTACGTCCGGCGGTACGAATGGTGGTGAGAGCAGCGCTGCCGGTCTCCGCAGGTTGCTAGAGCACGCCGGATGGTGGCCGGTCGTGGCCACTGTTGCGGCAACCGTATTCGCAGTCTAAAGCAGTTTCCCCGGAAACTTATGGGTCTGATGACGAGTTCTGAGCAATATGAGATATCCCTCTATACTTGGGGTATCAGCAGTCTTTCGATTATCCTACAACACAGTTCTTGATACCATTTACGAAATGAACGCTGGTAAGGACGAGGGAGTGGCTATAATGCCCACTAAGGGCGGGCAAAAAAAAAAAGAAGAAGAAGAAAATCATATGATCACGAGGTTGATGATGGACCCGATACCCCTAGGTTTTAATGATTTATTGACAGGATCCTACTTCGGTTTTGTATACCACCGTACATAGATGATTTCAAGATTCCACGATATGGTTCATGAATAACAAAATCGGTTAATTGACTAGTCTACTAGCCAAGCTCCAGTTAACCCACAGAAAAAAAAACTGGAGGGAAGTTCATCCGAACAGCCCGTAAGCAGACATTAGTCTCGGTGGCTGTGTGGCGACAACTTTTCAACGCTCGCGGCTTGTTAAGGTACAATCTACGCATGAGGCCAATCAGAAACCACCACGGCAGGCACCCGTCTGATCTCTGATGAAAAGGGCAAAGTGGAACAACAAACCTCATGAGGCATGTATCTTCCACAAGAACAGTAAAAACCCGTCTTCTTATACAAAAGTCGCACAGAACCTCGGTTTCCATCAAATCAGAAGAACAAAGCAATCATGACGTCTCCCGAAGCTCTTGTGCCTGATGACCAACGTACACCCCCGCCACCAACTTTTGCCGGTCGTCTCAAACTCGAAGACTTCAAGTTCGACGGCAATGGCTCAGCATCAGCATCGCCATCACCAGGCGGAATTCGCAGAAGCGCCCGTCTGTCCTCGACAACCAAAGCGACACCCGTAAACACAGATACATCCTCCTCTTCGGCATCTCCATCACGCAAAGCCACTCAAACCCAAACCACCGTTACCACCACCTTGACAACAACAACAACAACAACAACAACCAAAGCCCGATCATCCAAACGAAAACTAATAACCAACACCTCGACTTCTTCAACCTCCCCAACCCCATCCAACTCCGGCTTTTCTACTCCCACTTCCAAACGCCCCAAACCCCTCCCCAAAAAGACCTACGACAACATCCCCCAAACCCTCCCCGACGCCCTCTCTCCCAATCTTCTTGTTCTATTTATCGGTCTCAACCCCGGCATCTCCACCGCCATCCAACAACACGCCTACGCGCACCCGACCAATCTTTTCTGGCGTCTCTTGTTTTCGTCCGGGATCACCCCCGTGTTATGTGCACCTTTTGAAGACCGCTCCCTGCCGGAGCGGTTTTCGCTGGGGTTAACCAACATTGTGGGGAGACCGACGCGGAATGGCGGGGAATTGACAAAGGGGGAGATGGACGAGGGGGTGGCAGTGTTGGAACAAAAAGTGAGGGTGTGGAAGCCCGAAGCGGTGTGTGTGGTGGGAAAGGGGATTTGGGAGAGTGTTTATCGGGTTAGGCAGAGGCAGAGGCAGAGGCATGGGAAAGCGGTGGGGCTGCTGCCAAAAGATTGGAAGTATGGGTGGCAGGATGAGAGTGAGAACATGGGTGTGGGTGTTGATAGTGGTGATGATGAGGAGGAGACAAACACGACAACAGCTGGTGGGTGGAAGGGGGCGAGGGTATTTGTGGCTACGAGTACTAGTGGGTTGGCGGCCACGGTTGGGAGGGCGGAGAAGGAGAGGATTTGGAGGGAGTTGGGGGAGTGGGTGGAGAGGAGGAGGGCAGAAAGGGAGAAGGAGAAGGGAGTGAAAGGTGAGGATAAGGATGAGGGTCAGGGTGGTGTACTGGGTGAGTGATGTTCATGGTGTGAGGGGGTTCACGTTTGCATGTTCCTTAGCTGGTTGGAAAGCCTCGTACAAAGTACTGGTTCAAGTGTCGAACATTAAATGGAGGTACTTGAATTGACTAGATATCAATGTCTTGCATAATCTCGTCGCGCACTGTTTAAGCGAAGAATGGTCTCATATACTCCCTCTGCCCCTGCATGTTCCCCGTGCTAGGCGAGCCTCACTCCGACTTCTCTTCACATGCCCATCATTTCATCACAGATCAATCCCACATTCCCTCTTACCAAGCACAATGCCCACCATCAATCCTCAGATCCGCGCCCGTCATGAAGCTGCTCGCATCACTGAGCAAGAAGATCGCCGCGCCGCGGTACTCTTCCGGGTAACTCAGCCTTTTGAGCATATTGGCATCGGGCCAAGCGGTCCTGCGCTCAGGGAAAGCTTCAAAGAGGCCGGCCGTCATGGCGGTCACGATGTAGCCCGGCGAAAGCGTGTTGACGCGGATGCCATGCTCGCCCCATTCGGAGGCGAGGTTGCGGCCAAGCTGGAGAACGGCGGCTTTGGAGGCGTTGTATGCGCTTTTTCGGGGGGGATCAGTCGCTGGTCAAAACTTGAGGGAAAAGGAGGGAAAGAAGGAAGGAAGGAAGTAAAAAAAAAAAAAAAAAAAAAAAAAAAAAAAACACAAAACTCACGGGCAAATCAACCCCCGATTAGCCACCGTCCCACTCATGCTCCCAATCAGCACCATACTCCCCGGCCACCCATTTTCCACCATGACCCTCGCCACCGCCTGCGCCGTCATAAACACCCCCGTGACATTCACGCTCATCATCTTGTCCGCATCCTCCCTGCTATACTCCAGCGCGCTCGTCTCCTGCTGGATCCCCGCCGCAGCAATCAACCCATCCATCCTGCCCTCCTTCTTGGCAATCCCCTGCACAACTTCATTCAGCGCCTGCTGATTACGCACGTCAACACGGTGATAAGTGATGCTGGACCCCAATTCCTCGGTGGCGCGCTTGGCAACGGCGGAAAAGGGAGAGTCGGGATCGGTGGAAGGGTCGGGCAGAATGTCGACGACGTGCACACGCGCGCCGGCTTCGAGGACGGCCTCGGCTTGAGTGAGGCCGACGCCCCGCCCGCCGCCGGAGATGAGGATGACTTTGTCTTGGAGGGAGAAGAACTCGGGGAGGCGTTTGGTGCGGTCGAGCTTGAAGGGCTCGGAGGCAGGGAGAGGACGGGAGGGGGTTTGGTGGAGGGAGCGGGTGTGGCTGAGAGGGGTGATAATGGTTTGGTTGATGGCTCGGGCTTGGTGTTGGAAGAGTGCAGTGGTGAGTCTGGGGGAAAGGCGGGAGGCTGAATTTGGGACTATGGTGGTCTTGAGGGCCGAGAAGGCCTTGGTGGTGAGTCTGGTCATTGTAGTTGGTGGTAAGATTGCTGGACTGGGTTCTCTGAGATGTTGTATTGTGAGCTTGCAAGTGTATCTGTGAATGAGGGTTTGTTAATGACTTTGGGGCAAGCAGGACTGGTGATGTTATATAATCACCGGTGATGGATGGAGAGGTCAAGGTGCTTGTCTAATTCAACAATCTACGAGTCACTCGTAGGTCGAGATCAAGATGATATTGCCAAGGAGAACAGATACAAACAACGAACAAAACACCAGAGGGGGAAGATGAGAAGAGGGCGGGTTTGATAAGTATGTACGATGTCGCTGTTGGTAAGATGTCATCCCAAAGCAGAAAGGACGATCGACGCAATGCCAGTTTTGACACCTGCAGCTGATGGATGTCGAGACGAATCGGTGCATGGCAAACCAACAACTCAACAAGCACCCCCTCACTTGAGAAGTCAACCTTTGAATTCGGCACGATGTGATGATGCATCACCACTCCCGTTTCTTTGCAGGAATACTCGTTATAGATCTTCGTCTTGCCATGTTAGAGCCAACAGTCCCAATGTTGGAGCATAGCCCCCCGCTGAGGAGGGCTCGCTGAAGCTTGGTATCTCTTTCTTTTCGGGTCAATGTTTGGTACAGCGAGAGCACTCTAGAATGTGGATTATCCCAAATCAGCGAAGCACAAGAGCTTCTGGATGTCGCAGTACGGGAGTTCAAAATCCAATGCAACCTTGCAAGCTTGGCAAATGTCGAAGGATGAAGTTATCCTGGGACGGTTTACCGATTTTGGGGAACCCGGAGGGGAAGAACGAGGGGAACATGTCGACACTCAAGAGGAGGTGGCGTTCCGCCCTGCTTTTGAGAGTCCAAATCTGCCATGCATGGCTGCGGGTTTGTTCTGATGGAAATTGATGATGATGAGGGGTTGGAAGGGGAGAAAACCTGCCAATGGAAATACCCAGAGTGAGACTTGATAACTTTAGATTCTAGTAGTTCACACCCTGGCGGTGAATATTAGGAAGATACGTAGAAACACTCTTCTTTAGTCTGATGTCCTTATGGCCTCGGTCATTTCTCTCTCCAACGTAGAGGAAAGAGCGTGGTTATGATTGCCAGCGCATGACGCTCAATAATAACAGCTGTTTGCTATACATAGGTAGCGAGAACTGTCGGCTTGTGTAATACTTGTACTTGTACTACCTTAGCCGAGCACATTTACCCGAACTTGACGGACCGCTCCTGTGGTGTGAATATCGCGTGTAACCCAACCATTTCATGTTCCGCTGTCAGAAAGGGGCATCCCGGGGCAATATCATGCATGCAATATTGTCCACGATTGGGAAGTTGATGATGCGACTGTGAGGAACAGCAGTTGACCAAGACCTGGGAAGCGCACTGCCGTCTCCTTCGGGGTTGAATAATGGGGCCGTTGCGGGAGACCCACCTGGGCTCCAAGCCCGGCCGGACCCCGCTTGACACCCCCGACCCTCGACTTGGCGACACCGCTGGGGACGGGACCCGGGAGGTCCACCTTGTGTGTTGACTGCCGGACCATGCGGCGGCCGGGTAGGGTAACCCTACTGCCCTGGCTTTCAATAGCAGCACTGCACCACCTGCACTGCGCAGTGCAAAGCATCAATGGATCAGCCACGCTGTATGTACAGATTTGGTGTCAGCGCCGTTTGCCCATCCTCAATCGCTGTGTCTAGGGGTTGACGCTATCGCGACACCTTTGCGACGCTCCTGACCATGGTGGCTTGGCGGAGACCCTTGGGGGTTTGGGGCTCTCGCTAAAATCCCCGCCCCCGGACGATGATAGCAGCGCTTGTTTTGTCCCATGCCGCCGTATTCGCAACCAGCAGCAGCAGCTAACGCCTCGACCGAAATGGAACAGAAGAGCACTGACTACACTATTAACAAGCGCTGACAAATGTTGGGATGCGCTGGTATGTATCTATTACAGGTCGTCCTGGTGGTTGTGGCCGTGGTCATGTCGGCATTACCGAGAGAGAGAGAGAGGGATAACATGGCTGAAGGAATCTCCGATGAGAAGATCCAAGAGGTCCGTCTTCCTTCGAAGCCACGGAGGCCCTCGGTGTCTGTCTAGGGACTCGTCAACCAACGGAAAGGTGGCGGGGCGGGAGATGGCGTGCCATGTCGAAAATCGTAATCGCCGCTTGGTGGATGGTCACTCCAGTCTCCAGATGAAGATGAGATGCGAGACAAGGACGGTTCCAGCGGCCGGGATGTGGAGGGAGAAAAACCTGGATGAAGCCGGCGCGGATCAAAACCCAAGGGTCTCGAGCTTTTTCCCCACCACCACCTCCACTGCCGAGATGATCTGCTGCGCCGCATCCGAACGATCTATGGTGGGAGGGTTCGTAGCCCGTGGAGCCATGTTGGAATAGCCTGTACGTAACAGGTAGGTCACAACTATACACTAAACTGCATGATTACCTTGGTTGTGTGGCCCGCGAAACAGATGAACTTGGTGATATAGCTCCGGGCGGTCTCGCATTCCCAAAAACATACGTTCTTCGGAGAGTTTCGGGTTTTCAGACGGAAGCGTCCTCGAAACCAGGGGCGCGTGTCATGCTCGCGTCAGTAACATAGAGATGAACAAAGGGGGACAAATTCAGGATGCGCAGTTTTGAAACATGAAACAAGATGTTCAGGGACCATGAAATACCGGAACGATGGATCTGTAATGTTTTCTTGATGGTATACACGTGCGAGCAAATCTTCCACGAGTGGTGTAAGCACTAACAATTATTTCGCTGAGGAGTTGGAATCTTATGTCTTTGAACTGGCCATCACCAAGCCAACAACGATATCACAGGAATCACGCGACCATAATATCGCGCAACGTCTTCTTGATCGAGGTTCGCTCGTCAGCTCGCTCGACAGCAGGACGTTGTCGACGCACTCACACCGCCCAAGTGCGAAATCTGACGGGTCAGTTGGTTGCCAGGACAATGGCTTTGAATTGTTGCGTGCCAAGATATGTCTGGCAAATTTTGAATCTGACGTGCACTGGAGCCGCCCGACAAAAGCCACATACGGCATATACAAAGTCGTACGACAGAAGTGAAGCGAGCCGAGGTTGGCGTAGTCATTCTAGATCGTCCATCGAAGCTTCGACCGTCCATTGTCCAATCAACGCGGCCTCCCCCAGAAAAAGTGCAAATTCCGCACTCTACCACGTTCATCCTGGTGCGGCCGCGGCGACGGCGGACCACAGCTTCGAAAGCCGAGACGCTGTCTTGCCGTTGCAGACGCGCGACAGAAGGACAAGAAGAAAATTCGGAAATTTGGGGGGGTTCCTGTATGAATATCAAAAGCCGGCCATGAATGGATTTTCCTTGCACGGCGAGAGCGACGAACGGTGCACCATCAAGCACCCGCCCCCCCCCCCCCCCCC